AACAATAACAACAAGTCTGCAGAAACAAAATCCTAATAACGACTGAGAGAACAGCATTTTGCCGAAGTTTGGCAAAGAGCATCTTGACCAAGTAATTTATTTAAATCCGCCAATACTCTAAGGGTAAAGAATTTCGCACGAAGGAGAATCTTGGCTGAAGGAGCTCTCAATTTAAGCGAAGATCCTCTAGTTCTGGAGAAAGAAATAACGAAAAATTTCGAGAAATCACTTACAGACACCATTTACTATTTTAAATGCCATGGAAAGATCGAATTTTTTTCCTTCTATAGGCCAAACTAGGTAGGCATAATATTCTTCTACGTTCCTCACTTCTAGGAATCAGAGAATACTTTGGACCTATTATCCTCCGAAACAATTTTCTTGTAAAATTATTTTGAACCCCTTCAAGGGCATTTACATCTTGAACTTTATAAGGCGAAATTACCGTTGTACCAAATTCAACGATAGGGCGGACATCTTGTATGCTTCAATTAAGACTCAGGGTTTGAGGTTCGCAGTGTCTTGCACAGGTTATAAGTCCTGAAAGGTGCTTTGGAAACAATGCTGTTGTAATGGGCGGTAAACTGAAGTTTATTGAAGAAAGTAAAGCCCAAATCTTTTACTTCCTGGATACGGGTCAAATCATACCCACTGATAGTATAGGAAGATTTGACTTTTTCAACTCCCAAGGACATTACTTTGGTTTTCGGTGGAGCTAGAGGTAGCTCATAGTTTTCAGACCACTGACACACCATGTCAATACATGACTGTAAAGCTTCAACATCGGTTGTGCTATGGATGACCTTGTAAATTTTTATATCATCCGCATACATACACAACCACCCCTGCTCTCAATAAGTTCGGGTAAGTCAAAAGTGTAAATGAGAAACAAGAGGGGGGATAAAACTCCACCCGGGGGCACTCCACTGGAAATGGAGTGAATTTCAGAGTAATCATCACAAACCCGAACCTGGAAGGTACGATTGATCAAAAAATTTTCAATCTTTGCACGTCAAACCCTGAACTCCAACCATCCTGAGCCTGGACAACAGTTTGGAAGTAGGAACTTTAAGGATTGCTTTGGAAAAGTCTACAAATACGACATCTGTTTGGTGACGCTTATCAACTTCTGAGGTCCAGTCACTCATGGCAGTTAGCATAGCGGTCTCAACAGATCTACCTTTACAAAATCCATGCTGACTAGAAGGGATGATGGAGTGTTTTTCGAGATGGGAAGTAATATGTTCCTTCAAGATTTTTTCGAATGTACGTGCAATAATAGATGTTATGCTTATGGGTCGATAATTTTTTGGGTCATTATACGGTGGTTTTTGGGGATAGGAGTAACAAGGGAATGTTTCCACCTTTGAGGTACTTCCCCTCTCATGTAAGATAAATTGAAAAGATATTCCAAGGCAAAACCAAGCTCGGGAAGAACTTTTTTGACAAAAAATAGGGGAACTCCTCCGAGGTTACGGAGAAAGAGCTAGGACATTTTTCAAGGATGCGAATGTTTTTTTTCCTAGGAAACCAAACTGTTTTGTCCATGTCCGGATACCGAGAACTCTACAAATGAGTTACGACCATAGACCTTTACAAATTCTTGAGCTAAGAAGTTGGCCTTATCTTTGTTTAAGGATAGGGCCGGGCCAGAGTTATCAACCAAGGGATAATTGAATGTCTTGTCAATAAGGTGTAACCTCATGTAACGAAAGAAACCATTTACATTTTTTGACATAATAAGTTTTTTTTCTTTCGAGATTGGGAAGTTCCTAACTGCATTTTGACACCAATGTTCTCGGAAATTCCATTTCTTGCGCTCCCATTCACCTCTCTACTAGATGAAATTCTCGGGAAATTTGCGAAAATCGCTTGCCCTTGGGAAGTTCCCATGAAGTTTCTGGCATCATCGCTCCCAGTGAGGAAATACCATTATTTTAGACTTCCTGTATTTTTTCTTGGGAAAAAAATGGGTGAAATCTAATACAAAGAGCGCATAAAACTGGTAATCATGCAGTGTCATTAGCGTCCTGTGATCTTAGCAGAGAACAAATTGTCAATTTTTTTATCTAAAAAATTCTTGCGGAACATAAAACTTTGATTCAAATTGAGTATTCTTTCCGTTGGCTTTATGACAGCTTGTCCTTTATGCGTGATTACGGTCTATGATCCTGCCACCCAAACTGCTACTGTGCTATTTATGTGCTCTTTCTGAAGAAAAATCATGGAATTCATATGCAACGACATTTACAGTTCCATCGTGCAAATCAAAGTGGCAGATTCCGATTTATTGCTCAACAAGTCGAAGCCTAGGACTTTTTAAATACTGCAAGCTTTTCATAGAAGAAGACTACTGTTTTACAGACCATCTGGCTTTGCTCAGCGGAGTTACGTATCATAGCCAGGGCTCGGCACGAGGTGGAAAATGGACATAACAAAGTCCCCCTTGACCTTTCCAAAATTTTACGAAGCCCTGACCCTAAACTATAATCCTAAAAAAATCTCCAAAAAACGAAACGTCAACAAAAAAAACGCCGCAAATTTTGTGTCTTTTCGACCACAAAAACGAAACCCTCTTTGCTTTTCCTAAAGAATCCAGCTTGCTTACTAAGCTACCTGTGCCGAGCCCTGATCATAGCATAGGCTACCACTCTGACGTATAAAGCATACACCTGCCAAAAAACACTGTTACTTATTCGTATCTTGGGCTCCCCGTTAATGAATGTAACGCTGTTTGCTCTACCTTCTAAGCGGTCGCTGGAAATCAGCGCACCTCTGAGGAGAATTGGCGCCTTCTTAGGTTACATGACAGGGTATATAATGTCCGTATCATAATTGGCAGCTGCTTGGCAAAACTTCTCGCGTCAAGCATGGGTGAGTAAACTTCAGATAATAGCTTCCACTGCTAAATTTTCATCATCTTGCTTATCACAGTAAGCAACCATTTATTCATTAGAGTATTCGTAACAGATAGGAGTTGTCAGTCTTGGATCAACACCTCTCACTGACAACGAGTTTTCCATTCGCTTCTACTGACTAGAGAGAATGTTTTCACTATGACTTCATAATTGCAAACGATTCACGATTGCTCTTACCACGTACACTGAAACAATAGTTCTCTTTGGAAAGGAAAGTGAACTTATGTTTAGAAGTGGATTAGTGTAGTGAGTACAGATTTTTTTCTCTGCTCTGTTGTTGAATCTGCTAGTGAATGAGCTTAATCATTGCATAAAGAGTAAATGGAACAGAAAACTACGTAGTTTTGCGTATAAATGCAGTAGACATATTGTGAATGAGCAGATTTCAGGAAGAGCGGGTCTAGTCTTCATCTATCTTCGTTTGCATCTCATTTATCAAATACATTTTTTATTTAACTATTATTCGTAACTGGTTGTACATCTTACAGCTCAGATTGAAAGGACGCATTTCTGCAAAAAAAATGTAGCAATGAATGAGTAGTAGGCAAATGCTTCAGAATTAGTGATTAACGACTATAATGCTCTAACTGATTCAGTGTTCATTCTCATATCAAAACTTATTTCTAAACAAGACTAGGGAGAGAATCGTTGGTGAATTTCTGAGCAAACTCGCTGTAAGGACGGTATTAACGGTCACACTTAATGAGACTGACTAATTTCTTCGGCATTAAAATACAGCATAATGGGAGAGTACACCGTTCAAAACATTAGCATGTCTTTCGTGAATGGAGGTGCTTGGCACAGTTTCAAAAGTTTTTGGTCTTTTCGGGATTTATTATAGTTGAAAATCATTGCTGAAATCAAGCACAGAACATCGTCAGTATCTACTATTAGCTTATATAGTTGTAAAGAAAGCAAATCCCCTTCGAATGAAGATTATCGACTAATTGATTTTTGCAAAATTTTTGAATGATTAAATATCAATAACTGAATTTCGAAAAAATTTTCGATGAACGAATATTATTCGGTATCTCATTTTCAGTTATTCGATGTCGAATATTCGAATATGAGCACATTCCAAGAATCAAACTGCCCAGTATCCAATTAACCGATGCCAACGAACAGCTAAATATAATCTGATATTCGAATGCAATATTCGGATGATCGAATGCAATAGTCGAATATTCGAATGAATGTTCGAATATTTGAATATTCGAAAAACTGTTTTCCGAAACTTCTCGAATCCCCAAATATTCGAATAACTGTTTTTTTAGACTCCTCCAATATTCGAGTTATCGACTAACTCATTTTCCGAGTCTCGAATGAGCGAATTATTCAAATAAAGGCTTTTTTCATTTATTCAACTATTCATAATAGAATAATTGGACTTTTTCGAGTATTTAACTATTCGAATATTCGAATATTCGAATATTTTGAATAAATTATTCGAACGTGAATATTCGGTTCCAACTACTTTAGTTAATTTGTGCCCGATGAAAATGCTGCAAACACCTACGCTGACAAGATCGTCAATTTCTGAACCTTTTTCGGTGTCAGCAAAATTTTTCCTAATTTCTCTAAGCATTGACGATGCATAAGAAAGAAGCTTTATTATCGTATTGCTAAAGCATTTCTACTTGGGCGAAACTTCATTTTTTCCGAATAAGTGTACACGACTACTGTGGAAGCCGCTGTGAAGAAAAACTTTTTGATACTTCAAACTTCAAGAATTTCGGAAAAAATTTGGATTTTTTGCAAGTGGAAACAAGTCACACAATTTTGTAACCCAAGCACACAAAAACTTCGCGACGCATTTTCCGCTATAATTGTCCTCTCCTCCATGGTAACGTAAGTTATGCAATCTGATTTGTTCAGGGCGAACATCGGTGGCTGTAATTCCATGCCAGGTCTGTGGCGATCGTTCATATGGAAGGCACTATGGCCAGTGGACTTGCGACGGCTGCAGTTGTTTCTTCAAGAGAAGCGTACGCAAGAGCATTGTCTACACATGCATCTGTAAGTGCCCTTCGAACGAGATTCGCACCAAAAGTCTCTCGCTTTCAGCTGGCCACAATGACTGCGTGATAGACAAAGCTCGGCGCAATTGGTGCCCATCTTGTCGGCTGGCAAAGTGTTTCAGACTGAATATGAACTCAAAAGGTGATCATGGGCAAGTTCCAAGCTTCTTATGCTTATTTCACCAAGCTTCGGCTTTTAGCAGTACAAAAGGAACGAGGACCCCGCTCTGTGGCACCGCATTTTGCTGCAGTTGAGAGATGCAGGTCAACAAGTGAGTCAATCTGCTGCCTCACCTTGTCCCTGTGCATAAAATTAGTTGCAGAAAAAGTGCTAAGCAACAGTGAGCGCACAGAGGTCAGTGTTTACTCGATGGATGATTTATTCGTGGCTGCTGTTTTCGCCGTCAGTCATTCGGTGCTACTAGCGTTTGCGACCTCGGAAGAACGAAGAGAACTGCTCGTCGCCAATTATTCCTATTTTCTCGCTCTTGCGATTTCTACTGCAGACGAAAAAACGCGGAGAAACGTAGGTTGCTAATTTTTTTAGTAGCAAACTGCATATCTGTCTCCTCCGTCGCATTTGACGCTTGAAAAGACGAACATAAAATCAGATGTGTTGTCATGTCAAGGTATATATAGGGCATTCGAAAAATCGTGACGATGAGCGACCGCGCGCGACACGCACGCACCTTCCGGCAACCGCATTCTTGGTTTTCATCTCTACTTGAATGATTTTTCTGCTTACATATGACAGTATTCAAACATTAGAAATGATTGAGCTGAGAGTTGAGGTAATGCCTTTTTGCATGAGTGTTTTCTGCTCCTATGGGCGCAAAGGCCGCAGTCAAATCCGTCGTCACGATTTTATGAAGGGCCTTTACAGCTGTGGATGCAGAATATCGTTGCAATTCAATCAAGAGCAGCTTTTAATGAAAATGCCGAGCTCGATCCCTTTACAGCGGCACTTCAAGAAAAAATCGCTAAGGAAGTCAGAGGTTATTCTCAAAACATTGCTATCATATGGTGCGTGACCTTACGATTTGGCATACTCAATAGTTTCTAATAGGGCTTCTGATAGTTCAGTGGCCAAACCATGCCCACAACGACACCACACCACACCAACTGAACATTAAACGGTTTATTCGGATTATCTCGAACATGGGTTTCTAAACTCAGTCCAGAAAATCATGAAGAAACATCACGACCGGTAAAGAAATAAACAAGATTTACTAATATTCTATTGTTGCTACACTAAAAATTTCAAAATTGTCTCAAAAGACGTAAAATTGCACTTACGTTTTTCGTTGCGTTGGGTGATGCATAGCGCATTTGCGTGAAGCATAGAAATTGAGCGTTGTAAAAGGATAGACTTGGGCGCGAGTTGAGCGTTATTCTTCTTGAGGGCAGGTGAGGCGTAAAATGCAACTTTCCCAAAATGATAAGCTTAAGAGCTGTTCAAGCGTCTTTTCCCTTGAGCGCATTATTTGCAAGAGAAGAAAATAAATAGCGCTGAATGTAACGGCGACAAACTGTTTGACAGAGATGAACGGACGCGCACCATACGACCTCGGGCTTCTATCTGATAGAATATCTTGTTGTTGTAGCTTTGCCGCTTAGGACATTCTGTAAAAAAAAGATTACATTATGATAAAGCTACCTTGGGAAAGTGTGAATTTTTGCAGCTCGCGCTGTGAAGCCTCGATAGGGCTATCAAGGTACATTTCTTTAGAATTTCTGGATAACGTTTTCAGCATAATTAATAGCGTTGTAGTTAGCGCTCTAAGTTTTCTTCGGTCTGCTCCGGCTCTTCGAGATTCCCTGTCTCAGGGTTGTCTTCAGCAGTTAAGATTGGCTGCCGACCCTAAACTTTCCAACTGTCTTGCCATAATTTGCTTCTAAGTCTCTGTGGTCGACTTGTATGGGGACAGCTGTTGTACAGCAAATAAAAGGATATCTATAAGGTTAAGGGGTAAATGTTTAGACGTCACGACTCACTCTTTGACAAGAGAAAAAGAGGAAAAACAATTGAAAGTTGAGAAAGCACAAAAATTAGGAGAAAAGAGGATTTGATACGAACCTTTTGCGCTTTTTTCCTTTTCTTTATTATAAACTTAGCCGATGCACCATGTCTTCGACATCTGGGTTCTACTCGTTCAATAAGTGATGAAATCTTTTGAGTGAAGAAATTACAATCATATCCAGCTTCCCCCTCTTGTCTTTTTCTTTTATATCGTCAGCGAAGGCATCGTCTTTACAGTGTGAGGATCACGCCAAGTGTGTTTCTCACACTTGAATAAGTAAAGTGTTTAGTGAAGAGAAATAAGTGGGCTGAGCGGTTCGAATGAGTGTGGGCAGGATGATATGTTGAAGTATTATACATAATCAGCACCGGGATATAAAGCACTATCATGAAGTTGATCAGTCGAAAATTCTTTCAGAGAAATAACTAGTGTGGAGGTTAGTGCCAAAATCCCTGAGAAACGATTTGCACAAAAAGGATGATAAGCATGAGCTGAACTCATAAGAGACTGCATAGAAGGCGAATGATGGCAGAATGTGCAATCAATACAATGATAAGTGAAAGAAACTCGCATAATAAGAGGAGTTACAATGGAAAAGAGGAAAATGACAAAATTGTACTGCCGCCGATCTCCACTGCTTATGTGGGCCCGGCGCAATCTCTTAGAAGGCTGTTGTTATCATTTATAGCGTCTTTTTGGATAATAAACATTTCTGGGGTTTGAGTACTTTGCCAGAGTACAGCGCCGCACAAAGTAAGATGACTGTTTGAAGGGCGGGCGCATTTTTGTGACCATAGTCTGCCGTGCTGTATATCTCGAGCTTGGGTAATCAAATCTTTATTGAAAAAATTTATGCGATACAAGACAATACGAGACATTTGAAAAGATATGCAGAAATGTGAAGCTAACTACTACCTAGTAAAGCAATTGCGAAGAGATTTATGAGGGAGGATGCAATAGCACCGAAATCACGCAAGCTAACACTCAAAATAAGGAAACGAGAAACGACAAAGTGGCTAACTAAAAAAAGAAGGAAAATCAAGAAAGAAAATACAAAAATGATTCGCGCTCCCCATGTAAGTTCATCGATGGCTTTATTTTGAGAGACGCCGTTTGTCCTTTCTTCGGCGTTTTCCAACTACAAGTCTTTGTGAGCGTCTCTCTTCGTTTGAGGGCTCTCGCTGCGTACCGCGAGGTGCAAAAATGGCGAGGGCGATAAGCTTGATGTTGACTGTACTAACTGTACTCAAATCGGTTGAGTATTCCGCCTCGCTCGCCTCACATGGGGTCTTTTCGTTCAGCCACAAAATTTTATCCGATATCCATAATGCCGAATGGTGGCCTCATCTTGCAGTGAGCACTGGTATTTGACGCACTGAACATCACTCGAGCAATGGAGTTCGAGGCAGTTAAAGCAGCGTCGATGCCTTCCTAGGGATCCTCTTCGTTCGGCACCGGACTTCATCATTGCACACGAGTCGGAATAGTGTTCTCCGCAGCGCCTCAGAACACACACTCCATGGTTCTTCCGCGTCTCGCACTCCCTCTCTACTTTCGTGGTTTGCACGTCCTTGTTTCCTTGTTTCCGACGTTGTATTCTGCGTAATCTTTCTTAAGTGCAACTATTTCAAGGGTTGTCCTCTCTCCCAGCTCTCTTGCCTTCTGGTCATCGGTGGAAGATGGCGCTTGGCTCATCCTGTGGGAGTCTTTGCGGTACCATTGATGGAATAGCGAAGGGCAACGGTTGTTGGAAGCACGGAAAATCACATGGCGCCACTAGCATACTGGGCATCATAGTAACGTCGGTGGTGTGGTACATCCGTCTGCGTTTTTTGATTCTAGTGTTGCTAGATGTTATCTCGTCTGCACTGCTTTGCATATGTTCTGTCGTTCCAATGGATTTATTTGTATTCAGACCGCACATCTTTTGGTATTGGGTTTGTGCTTCAAAACTGCGTCTTTCACCTCTACCATCGTTTGTTAGATTGACTGCCACTGCACTTGCACGCTTACATGCAAATGTCTCTTTCAGCTCGCTTTAGGAAAGATGTGAGGCTCAACTTGGATAAGAATTCGTGCATTAATCTAAGCAGGTCATGATATATCAAGTAAGGAAACGCACTCTTCCTTAGGTTTATCTGATGCACCATGTAGAGGGCGGGCGCATTGTCCCGACCACTAGTCTGCCGCGCGGTTTACTTCAAACTGGGTAATTGAACCCTTTATTGGGAAAATTATACGCAGTATAAGGTAGTGCGATTAGGCTTTTGATAAGAAATGCACAAATTTGAATCTAATTGTAAGTGCTCTTCAGTAAAGCAATTGCAAAAAGAAAAATGAGACGACTGCAATAGTTCCAAAATTAGGCAAGCTAGCACCCAAGTTATAAAGGACGGGAATACAACAAAACGACAGCTGCAGAAAGAAAATTTATAAAGGAGAGGAAATACAACGAAGTGATATCGTAAAATAAGAAGAATTAGGAGAGGAAAGGAGGAAAAGGATTTGCACTGCTCCTAATCGCCGTTGTCACTGCTTATATAGTTTCATCGACGGCTTTGTTTTGAGAAGCGCTGTTGTTGCCCTTTTTTCTACATTCCCTTGCTTCAAGTCTTTGTGAGCATCTCTCTCCGACGGAATGCTCTCGATGCGTATCTCGCCGCACAAGAGCAAGAGGGGATGGCGACAAGCATGTTTTAACTGAGCCGGTTGCGAATATAAAGTACAGATGCGTTTCCGCGAAGGCTTCGACAAGTAGAATACTGTTGAATGCTTTTGCTGCGAATGTGCATGTCGATAAACGCCAGTGGTGTAGCGAGAGGGCCGGGGGTTGGCCCCCATTCCCCTCCCCCCCCTCTCCGTGACAATGGGCTCGCGCAGTTTCTTATTTACATGAGTTATAAAAAGGGGAAAGCGACTTGTTACACTTGTAAACACATTGTTTACACTGTAAACGCACTGTTTACACTTGTAAATAATTAAAACAGATTTCAAATGTTGAGAAAATCTTTGAACAAATTTTGTTGGTGGGTGGCTGCCACCACGCCCATTTTCCCTGAAACTTCGCGGTCATGGGCCTCCAAAAATTTGCGAAGTGTCCCAAAAAAATTTCGGAGGCGTGACGTCACGCCCTTCACCCGAAAAAAAAGTTCGTCTTCCTCTTCCCCGCTCTCGTACGGAAGTCCTGGGTACGCCACTGGTAAAGCGTATTTGGCAAGTCACTGAACACTTCTTTCATCTTCCTCGTCATCTCAATGACCACCATCTTCTGTTCACGACTTGTAGCGTACCTTCTAACTTTTTTTTCTCTTCTTGAATGATACACCGACTTCGATGATTCGGTGCGTAAAGGGGGAGGAGTATGTGATTCCATATGATTTCTCGCCTTGCTATCTCACTTTCGAACTCGGTGCTGTGTATCATATTTTCTGTGGTTTGCCTCAAGATCTGTTCACTCAAAAAAAAATTGGAGCATTATCGCACGCAATTGTTTTGACTCCTCTTCTTGCAAAAAACCTCGCAACGCATTCAGGAATGCCTCTTTCGTCATATTTGCTACCAGTTCCAGATATATGATGTTATTTGACATATGAAGATACACCAATAAGCCTTGTTTGACCCGTCCTAATTATCTTTGATCTAATGATCCTAACTGTCCCAAGTAAATCAGTCCAATGTGTTCAAACGGATCAGCTTTCTGCACTCTCGTCATCGGTAATGCTTCCATATCAGGATAGCAGAAGAGCAAGTAATCCATCTTCTGACGCATCTTTTATTAGGTTTCTCACTTGTCGTCTTATGTTAGGTACCCGATAAGTTTCATTCTTGTGAGCTTCCGCGATGATGAGCTGTGCTAACGCTTTTTTGGCGCAATATATATATATATATATTATATATATCGGTTTTTTGTTATAAGCGATATGTCCGCTTTCTTTAGACGTCCGTAGCAGTGTAGCAGTCCTTGCTTGTCCTCCCGGATTTTCAATTCCTCTTTGATTTTATTCGACCTTGTATATAATGTTTTTCGTGATCTCCAATCAAGCACATCTTTCATGCTGTCTATCCCTGGAATATTTTGCTTGCTTGATATGATTTTGAGTGCTGGTATTTCTTGTCGAATCTCTTTTTATCTTTCCTTGAGAAAGTTCAGACTCTTATGAATTGTAGAATTACAAGCATTCGCTGGGCTTTAGGGATCTCTGTCGTCGCAAGCCTATAACTTCTTTTTCAACGCTTTTATCAATGTTGTGATCATCTCGACTGTGGTCGTTATTGTCTCCTCACTGCCCGCTATCGCGCTGAGTTTGGAGCAAACGGGTTTAGATTTAAATCGTGTCCTCTCCATAACAAACTATCCTGCAGTATCTCTACTGTGAGCCCTCTTGATCCACAATCGGCTGGATTTTCAAAGAAGACACAGTACATTCCTGTGCTTTGGATCATTGTTTATCCGTCTTACCTCCGCCCAATCATTTGCTATCAGTACTCCTGCGCTTTGCCTGTTGGCGGTGTTTTTAGCCACCCTGATAAAATATCTGAATCCTCTAACAAATCATTCTTTGATCTGGCATAGGGGTTATAGTGCTGCGCAGATGAATCTTGACATTCATGACTCCCAGTGTTACCGCGTTCACCTCTAGCTTTGGTTGTGTCATCGTAGTTTTCATAGATGGGAGTTTCGATTTACGCATCATGAAATTGGCCTCATTGTCCATGGTGACATATGCACATGCTGTCATCGCGCATTTACTTGCGTCTGTGAATACGACTAGTCGAGATTTCAAGAGAAGTACATACACACAGTATAAATGCCCGCATGCTGGATCATGTACAGGAGAAAAATACAAAATAGCAGAGCTACACTGGCCAGCGACTTCCCAGGAAACCAGGTTGTGTAGAAAGCTGTGGAGCCCACGATGTGATTGTTTTTACCCTAGCTCAGGATGCTCATTTCATAGGATCTACTGGAACTAAACGAAGAGAAGAATTATGAATTAAATGCGCCGATGGAAACAGAGGGTGAATCTGCAGTCAACAGTTGACGAACGGATAGATCACATCAAGACCACAATTTCACGTACTCCTAACCAACCAAGGGCTGTGCACCGTTCAACATCCTCTTTCATTCGCAGCACACCATCCAAGCCCATGCTGCACTCAACCTCCCTCACAGACGCGGTATGCAGTGGCACCGGCATACTTCGAACCGCCACTTGCGTGTGCTTCACAGGAAACGCAGCAAACCCCACTTGTGAAGTGAGGGAAGAGTGTGACTGCACGCCAGCGGAGGTATGGATGAAATGGGATTGCAAGGAAGTGTAGCTCACGGCATACATTGGAGAACCATCATATATGTTGCCCATAATATGATCAAGTCTCGGATTTCGTGCGATAAACGGAACAACGTATGGGACTTCAACTTCCAACAGCGAATTTACATTAACAAACAAAGGGCACGACGCAAAAAAAACAAAATACATTCAAAACTTGAAAAAGAAGAAAGAATGAAAGTTGAGGCTGCGAAATCAAAACATAGCCGACAGCGCTGAGGCGCACCTCGCGCAGCACCGGCGGAGATGGTAAGCTGTGATAAGCGCGCAGGCTTGCTAATTATTATCAAGCTAATATAGCTTGATAATAATTAGCAACTCCGGACACAAATTGATCCTGAGGTATTGTAGTACAGTACAAGGCACGCTGTCGAAATTAAAACGCTATAGCGTCTTCAAATGCAATTCTAACGTGTAGTTTGCAGATTGCCTAAGCTTTGTATATCAAGATTTCGTCTGACATGTAACAGTCACAGAGTCTGTATAGGCCCTCACAAAGGCAATTTAACTTTCCATGGAGCTCTCTACGGCGTTCGTACGGGCAATCTTACTCGAATAACGGTCCATCTTCAATGCTTTTATCACAGGAACAGTGACAGACTGGAGGCCAGACCAAAAGCGGAGTACGAGAAGAAGGAACTCTTCATCCAACAATCACCAGCGAGGCCGAATGAAGTATAGGTGCAACGAAAGTTGAGTAGAAACGGTGATAAATGTTATGTATTCGAAGAATGTTTGACGGATTCGAAGCTGGACCATATCGCACTGAAAGGGATTCGCTGGGAAATGACTTACGGTGGCAGGGTCCACACTACATATCAAGTTGAAGGACATGCGAGCGAAACATCTGGATGAGCTGGAGAATTAAAGTGGATGGATCAATTTTATGCACACGAATGGTACGAGATTTTCGTGGCGGTGAGCGATGCGCAGGAAATTGACCGCCTGATGTATCTGAACGAGATCGAGCAACATGTGACGATGACACCAACAACACTCACAGACAGAAGTTATGGGCAGCCGCTACCTATCATCCAGCTAAAACTGGACGAAGTGGGACAAATTGCTCAAACATATCGGCTGAAATATGAGAATCTGAACGAAAAAGAGGAATTGTACGATGTAGAGCAGGAGACAAGGAGAAGTCGAGCTGAAGAATACCACGCAATGAAGGACATAAACGTGGCCCTCACAACTTTTACAGAGGAATGACGGCGTTAGAGGAACACTCGTGAAGGAAGGCTCAGAGCAGGACTATGGATCGCTTAAAGAAATCAAAGAGGCATTTTCACAGCTGAGTTATTCGGCAAACAAATGGCAGCAGAGAGGAAGAAGCTGCACAGCTTAAAAGAGGAGATTCGAAATCAACAGGATTACATACAACAGGAGATCTTGTAATGGGCAGCTGTTCGGGCTGGCGTCACAGATCAAGGAAGAATCGGAGCGAAGACGCAATAAAAGTTCGAACTTTTGAAATAAATGGAGAACTGATCTCAAGGATGGACACCGGGGGCAACACTGAGGACGGATCACCAGGAAGAACCTGAAGAGAGACGTTGAAAGGCACACAGGGAGACTTCAACAAAAACTTCACAGTCACAACAGTCATTCAAAAGAGCGGAAACGCAAACGCCTGGAGCAAAGAGCTCCCACTCTCACAAAAAAAGACAGCTCCATGAGGGCAGATTGCCGAGTGCCAGGAGGAGATGAAAAGGATTCAGAGTGAACTATATACACTGTTCTGTTCGGAGAGACTATTCGGCGATAGTGGATTCAAGATCGGGCTGCTCATGTGCATATTTTGTAAGGAACATGGACATTTTTGACGCTTGTCCAGTGGTGAATTAAATTACAGCCCTATAGGATCATAAAGAAAGATGTTCAATCTAAATGGCCACTTCGACTATAAGTGAGTTTTGTAAGATTTGCAGTCACAGGTTCACATCCCACTCTTATTTCCTCTAGTAAAGTGCCCTTTTTTACCCACATAATGTTAGAATAGCCATCGAAAGCGGCATAAACAAAGCAACCTGAGTAGTGAACGATCCGTTTGAATAGTCGAGTGAATGAAAAATAACTTTATTCGAATATCTGTTTATTCGACGGATCGAAAAAACAAGTTATTCGAAATTTTATTTGAATAATCGTAATATTCGAATAAAATTTCGAAGTTGTTTTTTTGATTAGTGCAATGAACAAATATTCAATTAAAGGTATTTTTCATTTACTCGACTATTCGAATAATCAAATAGATGTACATTCCTGAATATTCGACTTTTCTATTTCGAATAAATTATTCGAATACAAGTACTCGAACGATATTCGGTTCTAACTATAGTTTGCAGGTGCAACATGCGTTGCCAACCCACGTCGAGATGAATTCGGAAGAGTTTCGACTTTCGGTGTGTGTTCTGCTGTGTAAGCTGGGTGAGTGAGTTAGTGCTTTTCTCGAGGGACTTTAACGAGCATTGTGCTCGATGTCTGCTCTCCAGGTTCGTCCGTGGCAGCGCTGTCGTTCGCGCCGCCGCTGCTTCCGATCTATACGCACTGGATACGGATTCACTGCACATCGTTCTCGTGGCCTGGCAAAGCGGACGAGATCCTCGAGCTGCTCGAGCAGATCTGGCACGACCGCACCAGCTTCGATCACCTGCTCTCGGCACCTGCAACTGAACTCATCGACCGAGTTTTTCGCTTTTAACGAGCATATAGCTTCCTCCATACTGTTTCTGTTCGTACTTTGCGCTGGCTGTTCTGACCGCTAGCTGCCAGCAGAAAACGCCTGCTTCCAGCTGTCCACCCCCGCAGTGTATTAACGGAATACGCGTCTTCCAGCTTTACACCTTGTGATGCGCCTGTTCCATTGCCTCAAACTCTCTTTTCTGGTCATGTTTGGTCACAAGATTCTATTTACCGATCTCTGTACCTATGAATAAAAAGATAATATTATGAACCACCGCTCCACATTTTCCTGTGTCAGATAGTAAAAACTCTGCGAGATTTTAAAAATTGCACTTCGTAAAGCGTTTTTTACACCCGATTGCATTTTTTACGACAAATGATACAATATTCTGAAAACAGTTTCTCCGAGCTCAGATTTTTGCACTTGTTAAAGCCTAAACAATTTTCGGTTATTGATTGGGGATTCCACTGTCAAAAAGTAATCGGGAATTGAGAAGGATCGGATTCTAGATCACTAGCATTATAACTGATCAACTCGGATTAGAAGGAAGAGTTATTTTTATCGGCCTTAAAGTAGTGTTTTACATCTTGGCGTCCGAAAAATTTTATAGGAGCCCTGGTCGGAGACATGTCAGTTACTAACTATTATACTTTACCCGCTTGAGAACATACCGCTTGACAATGCCAGAGCTGAAACCGGCATTGTTCAGTTCCTTTCATGCTGCTGGCTTTGCAATCTGCAAATGCACTAGGTTAGAAGATGGCATAATGCTGATATGATTTCGGAATAGCTTTTTTCATAATACATATTAGGTTGTCCTGAAAGCTTTGCGGTTTTTTTTTTCAAATGACTATAAAACCAAGTACAATAAAGACTAATGACTTTCAACATGCATTCGATGCAACTTTTCCTTCTCTTTTCTATGGTTGTGTTTTCGAAGCATGATCTTTCATGAGCTTTATGATAATTGTCAAAATCCCTCACCCGTAATTCTATCCGTGCAAAGTCCGCTAAAATTGTATTCCACTGTTTTGGAAATGATCTGAAATATCATAAGTAGAGCAAATCTCAGACTATACGGTGATTTTTTTTTTCAAATTCTCCTCATCTGCTGAGTTCAGCTCTGAAAAATTATTTTCCGGAGATCACGATTTTTAGGAAAGTCAAGGATACGCGACTGTAGCAAAAACATGAAAGCTTTCAGAGTTTCTGTGAATTGAAACTTGATCATTACCAAACATTATTTGCGCAACACAATTAAATTTCGTTTGCTTTGAAGAAATAGCTTCTAGGATTTTTCGGTATCCTATGCGCTAAACGTGATCAAAAAGCGGTTTTTCCAAATAAATGACTATTACAAACTTGCTAGACGGGCCTACATGTAATCTGAAACGAGTGTAATGTAGCCAAAGATTTGCTCTACACAGCCAGTTCTTCGGAAATGCTAAGATAAGATTTTTCAAAAGAGAAGATTTGGCGTTACCGGTGAACTGCTCAAAAGCCACTTCGATAACATCGCAAAGACAGCATAGATCAGGTATCAGCCCTATGCACGTGAATGGCAGAAAATAATCTCAGACAACTGACCGGAACTTCTGCAGAACGTTTGGAAAAGTTCCGCCGGGTCACCTGCGGAAGTTTCGTAAACGTGCTGCGGAAGTTGAGGTGTTGCGGAAATTCCGAAGAATGCGAACCACAAAAGCAAAAGAGAAAACCTAGGCGAGATTTTAACCTTACTCTATTGACTGTGATACTCACCTACTATCCTCTCCACTGCGGCTGATATGTTCGATAATGCACTCTAGTTGTTGGCGAGAAGCATCAAACGAGACAGCACATTCAAACCCCTGCGGAAGTACTGGCATGTCAAAGTGCTGGGGAACTGTAGGCATTTTTCGGAACTTCCGCAGCGCTTTGTAAAAAGTCCTGTGGAAGTTCCCATTTTTAACGTTTTCACTTTTGCAATAGTAAACAAAATCCTGCGGAACCGCTGCAAATTTTGCTTGTTCTGCGGAAGTTCCGGTGAATTGTCTGAGATTGTCATGTACTGCTATTTTCAACTCAGAAATAATATATCTCACAATTTACCAGGATTCAGATCAATTCGAAAAATCTATACGAGTCTGGGACTTCTTTTTCAGTCCGATCCACAATTGTTATCAAATATAGACAATCTCCAGCTTTCACAGAAACATATGTTATTTGAACCCTGTTTCATCACAATATCCATGTGATTAACTTTATGAACTCATGGCCTAAGAACTGATAATAACAGCATTACTCAATGTTTTGAGCTTCTTATTAGCGAAGAACGCTGTCACAGCACTGCGATAACATCTTGGCGAGAGTTTACAACGTCTTGATATACAACCATCAGCCAATCCACTAACTCCATCTACCACTTGCCGTAAGTCCTAAATCATTAACAGTTTTTATCGTTGATACTCTCAGCTCGTATAATTTCGCACTTTGAGGAGAATCTTGTTTTGGCAGTGCGTCAAAAAAATTAATTAGGTGGTGTAATACTACTCGATTTTACGATTGACTTATAGCATGCTTGATTGTATGTACGAGAAGTGACGTCTTGAGAAGCATTTTTGAAAACAAGGAAAAAAGTATAAATTGGTAACTTGAAACTTTCATTTTTTTCTCATTTTCTCTTTCCGCGAATGGAAATCCTACGATTGTACTCCGGGATATCTTCATTGTTGCTAAAGGGCCGTTTGTTTCAGATAAACAAATCATTGATTAGAAAAAAATAAAGTACCACATTGGCTAGAAAAACGATAGACCGAAGAAAATGTTAAACATTCATATATTGATTAATTCTAGAAATTGTGCACTTTTTTGAAAAAAAAAGTGGTGATCAAAATCAGTGTGGACAACTTGCCGTCAATTATATAGTTGTCAATGCCAGACCGAGGTGGGGGGGGGGGGGGGGGGGGGAGAAAGCCAAGTGGTAATTTTTTGAAGACTTTCTGTGAGTTATAAAATTGTGAGCTCAATCTGTTTCTGCGTATGAGTAACAATAAGATTGGTTTTTAAAACCTTTGAAAATCCATTTTAGCACTGTAACAAGTTTTTTGCGGCCTTTTACAATTATGGCTGATAGCTTGCAAAAAATTATGAAAATCCTCAGAATTTCGTAAGGCTTATTAATGACTTGCCCTCCATTAAAAAAGAGCTGTCGCACCAATCCCGTGTCCCTCTTACCCCCCCCCCTCCCCTTCCCGCAAACTTGGACCACCACTGGTACTTGGCGGCGTGGCAGGAGTTCCCAAAGCCTCGCCGCTTTTCCTCGGAGGGATACTTGGCACTTCCAAAACTCCCTTGAAGGATTTCACACCTTCTCGAGGGCAAACGGCTCCGCCCATCACTCCTCCCTCTGGGTGCCCTCATTCTGCATTGTGTACAGCACTGTAAGACGTGCTTCATTGTAATTGAGGACAATAGAACTGAAATCGAGAAACAAAAAAGCTAGGTTCTCGTAAGGTTTATAAACCGCAGATGACTGAAGCATTTCCAGCATTCAAGTTATGTTCTACTCATGTTTTTGAAAGAAATGATGCTTCCTTGAAAAGCAAGTGCTCGCGCTGCAGTGCTTGAGTACTTTTGTGAAGCATATATTGGGTTGTTTCAAAAGTTCTACCCGTTTTTGATACCTTTTTTTGAACTGCCGATTTTGGAGCAAGAAACCATTTTTCATAAACAATGCTAATGGCATTCAAAAGCTCTTTTCTTCTAGTTTTTCAGGCATATTTTCGTTTTCACATATCTTCGTTCGCTGTGTGGTTGCGCACTGTGAAAAGACAGCGAAACAAATGTGAAAATTTTCGCCTTTGTTCTATCGCCATGAAATCTACAGCCAAAAGAAAAAATTTCTTTTAAAACAGACATAATGTCTGCTGGAGGCTTGTGCTACGAAACGCTCATCGGAATACGATTTCAGAAAAATTTTGAACCTACAAATTTTTAGCTCAAACATAACCTGTCTTTATGGTCCCTTCAAGTCGCATAAAAATCATAAACATATTGCAATCGCGGAACTTTTACTCTATAGAGTAAGCTTAGAGCTAGAACAACTGCTACTAGAAAATCGAAAAGATTTCCTGGTTTGTCAACGGCGAACAAAATCAAAAATGTCAAAAAAATGCATTTTTTGCCGCCTCAGAAAGAGCAAAATAAGTGGGTCCTTTCAGATTTTTCACCACAAAATTTTTATGAAAGAGTTTGATGAAATCCAAAGTTAGCAGTACTGCTCAGCCGACTATAGGCTACACTGTGAGCAGTGCTTGTGCAACTCAGCTATATTCCAAATCAAGTTATGCTTTTGCAAAGTGAAGGTTTCTACAAGGAGATGTTCCTCGATTTTCGCCTATAAAATCTTCACCAATGTTACTGCAATAATATTAAAGAGTGCGCAGAATAGCCAAAGATTTGCAGATTGTAACACAGTTTATAGCAATTGCAAAGGTTATTTCTAAGAAGAGTTACGGTGAATCAAAGTCAAAGTTCGAAAACGGGTAGAACTTTTGAAACAACCCAATAGTATTGATATAAGTCAAGAACTCAGAATCTTCCAATCACAATATATGATCGAGAAGTTAGTCAATTTCCGCAAGCTCTAAACTTTATCTAATTGTAAGAAATAGTGAATTGGAATCTTGCAAATTTAGTGTTTTGTTTGGAATTAGCCAACTCTTCAATATACATGCGACCGAAGTTTGGTATTCTAGTACATCGATTGTAGGACTTTCTGCACATGAAAATTTCTTTTTGATAGTTTTGATCTAATTGATCCTCAAAGTCAAGATGAGAAATTCACTCGAATAGATGGCAGACGAAAGTACGAAAGTATGTGTGTAAATGTCCTAACCACTGGGAAAGCGTCAGGTTGGTTGTTCGAAATATTGCTATGCCCCTTTCAAAATAGGTCCTTTTCTTGCTGAGAAGGTAATCGGGTTCTTAACCACTTCTGGTCACTCATTCATTCAAAACTGATGCTTTACTCCAATTATATGACCAGTACTTCAGAATTGGACAATTAGATTTCCTAATTTTACGAATGACTTGGTTTCGTATTCAAAAAAAAATCCTGTGCAATTTATCTTTGAGAATAATGGATGCTCATTTTTAATGGTACAACGGAAATTTCATTTGAGAAATGATAACTATTCTTCGCTTTTTCTCCGTTTCTCTCTCATTAACCTAATACCTGAATCTATGTTCTCGCTGCTTGCGCACTTCACAATGAGAGTAGTAAATGGGTGGAGCAATGGGCGGGCCTGACCTCCGAGGCACGGAGGTGCTAGAACACTCGTGGGTGCGAATGCTGGTGCGAACTTGGTGCGAGGAAAGGTGCTAGGAACTCCTGCACGCCCTCCCTGGTACTTTATTGCTATCATCACTCCAAGGACCAGCGTCCACATAGGAGACAGGAGGAGGGAGAGAATAGGGAGGGAAAAGGGTTCAAAGCTGTAGCAACGTGTTTGAAGGGTTTCCTCTGGTAAACCTTAGGGACCCGTCATACTTCGCCGAGAAGAGCCCAAAAGCGCCCAAAAAGTCCAAAAGCCCGAAAAAGCCGGAAAAAGCCCGAAAGAGCCGGAACGCAGAAACGAACTTTTGATAGAATTCTGGCATGATTTTGATGTGCATACGACAGAAGATAAAGCAAAAAGACTCGGTTGCGAAATCAACACACCTGCCTTAGCGTCAAAACGGAAGGGGCGTTTCGGCTCTTTCGGTTTTTTTGGGCTTATTTCGGCAAAGTATGACGGGTCCCTTATACGAGAACATCCAAATCATTCGATGCTCCTTCATCATTAAATTACCAGTCCTAAGGAGAATAATAAGAAGAAAAAAGCTCAAAAATCGCTGTCATCATGTACAGGGTGTCTCAAAAGCCTAGTATTTCCTCCGCTGAAAATGCATGAAGCAACATAGAAGCATGAAATTCAGCAGGGAATTTGCGAAGAGCCTACAAAATAACACGATACACTCAGATTTCTGAAAACCCTCCTTTGGACTTTACACAGGCTCTCAGACACTTGCGGAATGCATGCACCATGGCAGCCAGGTAGTTGACATCGAGATTGTCTCACATCTTCTGAAGCAAGCAATCCAGACTGTCCAAAATTCAGCATGGAATAGAGCAAACCTTGTTTTCCATTACTAATCACAAAGAAAAGTCAAGGCCTCTTGACCCGGCTATTGAAGGCACGTAAATCTGAGAAGCATGACTGTGAGATTTGACAAAAGTGTCAAAATGTAGCATTCAGGTGTTTGAGAACACCAAGAAAACAGCAATTATGGTGTACCGGGAGTGAATTTAAAATGGTATTTCAGTAGGAACTGCAGGGCTTACAGCTAGAATTAGTGACTGAAGTTGATTCGGTACGGATTTTCCAGCTTTTCCAGGTTTTTGTTTCCGAGAACTTTTCCTTCTCATTGGCACGGCACAGCTTCAGTGTTTGTATCCTAATCCTACTTTAATGAACGAAGGCTATTGATTGATTTTGCACTGTAAATGTAGAGTGAAGCTAGCTCTACAATATGCAGTTTGAAAGTCCACAAGAGCTCTAAAGGCAAAAGAGCTGTAAATATTTGAAGAGGGGGTGCGTTTCCTTCGGCGTGTCTTCACGATTGTAATATTGTTTGCTTCAAGAAGTATATCTCGAGAATGTACAGTGTAAACGGTATGATTTTCTTGAAGAATATTGGCAACTAGACGAAGAACTCAAAGGCAAAATTTGGCTGAAAAGCGAGGAATACTAACAAAGTTACTACGTTGAAAAGTTAGGCTTAAGGACTTTTGGGACACCCTGTAGGCAACGATTATCGCTACCACGTTGTCGTTTACCCTGCAAAAATCTGCATTTTTCTCTCTCGCAATACATCGAGAGATCGCCGATAATCGTTCCTCCAGCAGAAACATCGCAGTTAGTGGTGTTTCACGCTCGTTGAACGGAGAATGAAACGCATCTGTCGCCATGCCGTGAAAGAACCACGTTGATATTTTAGTCTCTCGCGCTATGCATTGCTAAACGAGCTTTTCACCCCCCCTCTCCCTCGTCTGCGCTTCCCCCCCCCCCCCCCCCCGCGTAGCTTCTGCTTCGAGTGTGTTGCACTGGCTGAGTGGACCCACGTTTGACCTGGCCGAGTGGCAGCCGCTCTCTGCTCGCCCCGGCTTATAACATCTTACTCTCGCCCCGTGTCGTTCCTTCTTGTTCTCATTCCCCCCCCCCCCCCTTTCCCCGAGTGCAAATATTACGCTTATCGATCCATCACTACCTTATCGAACGGGCGCCACTCGTTGATTGCGATACAAGATTGGATTGGAATGCCAAACTTCTTCTTGACTCGCATTTGCCCTGAGATGTAGGCTTCTTCCGGGGCTTTTTTCTCCTCGCTGATATCCCCCCCTCGCCCCGTAATTTCCTCGATCGATTCTTTCCCGTATCGATTTCATCGCAACAGCTGCCTCGTAATGGATGTTAGTCACTGGCAACAGCAGCGGCCAACACTCATCAGCGTCTGTTACACGGCCTTTTCTACTCCCAGCGATGTCCTAAACTGAAACTCGTACTATTTGCAAAGCTTTTTGCATAGGTTTTTGCAATGTTTGTCCACTCATTCGCTTGGGTTGCACTGTACTTTTTGATGTTCGTGGCAAGAGGATGGCTTATATGACGTTATTCCTTGTTTTTTTTTCATTCATGTTTTCATTTACTTCATTGTTTTGTTCGTAAACGTTTGTTTGCTGTAGAATGCAACATTTCAGACAGGCAATCTATCTTGTTTTTTCTACTGCAAAAGCAAAGACCGCCTAGTTTTTGTCGGCATCGCGGTTTTTTTAGACGTGTGTAAAATGCTAGGTAAAACAACAGTGTAGTTCAGTCTCAAAAGACACCGATGTCGTTTATATACTTCCCTCCTCATCTTTTCATAATGTTCATGGTCATTTTGACCAGAGAAGCTTTACACTACCATAAAATCTTTCCTTTCTTTCTCACTCGGCATCATGGTATTTTTGTTAATTGCTGTTTGTATTATATTGCACTTTCCATTTACTACTCGGAATTAATACGCTTGTGTGGTTTGATAATACACTTGCCCTCAACCTAAGTAATTCTGTGCAATTGCACGCGTACTACTCATTTAGTTTTTATTCAAGCATGTTGAGGTTTTTTTTACTGCCACCGTTCCTTCTACTTTGTTCGATGGCTGATACGAAACTCCTCTAGTCCCTGTTCTACAAAAGTTTTCTACATAAGAGCAAAGATATGCTTTATCAACTTTTTTTAAACAGACCTAATCTTGTTTCTCTCGGTCTCGTTGCCTTCTTCTTCTTTCTCTTTTTTTTAGTATCTAAGTAGATCCTCAACACAAAAACTTATGCATTCTCATGAAGAACTAGTAAATGCGCCAGTTTTCCTGTTTGCTTTTTTGTTCATAATGGAAGTGGGCGTGAACGACATGCAGTAATACCTCTTGAAGTCAGTGTTTTTCTTGTCTGTTCTTCAATGCATGTGATTCTGTGAGATTCCTCCTACGTCATCATTATCTGTCGAAAAGGCACTGACAATTTATTGCATTAGTGCAGGGCGTGAATTTGTTGCACTCTATTTACTGGAGCGTTGCTGATTCTCTGCGAAAACGAAAATGTCACTTTTTTGTGCTACTTCTCGATTCCCCAAAGTCGTCAAGGTCTTTTGTATTATTTTGGGTGATATTAGCTATTCGCTGTAGAATTTGCAGCAAAAAAAAACGGAAAAGAGCTATTGAAATATCTGGATTTTATTGGGACGTTATGGTCGGCTATGGCGAAGTCAATAAAATTTGTAGTTTGAGAAAGTGCCCAGAATATCAGAATTTTCTCTTCAAATGCTTGAGATCTCTTTCAAGAGCTTTTTCTTTACTTTTCTTTTTCTTAGCGTCGGTCCTCATTCTATCAGCTGTATTTCCGTTTTATTTTTTCACATCTTGCTTCTTTGACCTTTTGAGCTTCTTTCACAAAAGGTACCTTTCAGCTCAATTTTCTGTAGTCTCTCGAAGACGGTCAATTGCCCGACGGTGACGACAGCATTTTTGCGTAGAAAAGGGCTGTAGAGCGTACTTCTTAGTTTTGCGCCCCATGACCATCAATTATGCGCAAATGTTGGCAACACAAGACGCTATATACGTCAAAAGACTACGGTTGTATCTCTGCAAGCACCCATGGTCTATTAGCAACTAATGGGCCTGGTCGAGTGAGTAGCTTAAGTCTGGGAGCTAGCATTCAGCTAGCATAGCGTTTTTTCTCTAAGTTTGCTTGCGGATCGCGTAAACTTCATACTATGATTTATTTTAGCGGACGAAATCGTACTCTGTGTATTTATCGCAGTCATCATCTTGCCCATGTCATCGAGCGTTCGTCCGCAGCATTTGTTGCGAGGCCGTTTTTGACATTTTTATCGTTTTGATTACCATATCACTTCAGCATCCACAGAAATATTAATATGCCGGCGTATACCTCCGATCTGCATATGTGAAGGAGACAAAGCTTCTGCAAAAATATCAAACAATGTTAAGCTCCTCCAAAAAATTGTCTTAGTCTTAAGGAGCCCGTCAGAGTTTACCGATGTTACCAGCGTTACCCGTGTTGCTAGTGTCACTCATGTTACTAGTGTTACCCGTGTTACCGGTGTTACCATTGTTACTACTGTTGTCGGTGTTACCAGTGTAACTCGTCTTACTCGTATTACTAATGTTACCGCTTTTATTGCTGTTGAGTAGTGAAATAATCACAAATACAGTCTCATTCTAGAACGCAATCTCATTAATTGGTGAACAACATGAGTAACACTAATAAAACACAGGTAACACTGGTAACATGGTAACACGAGTAACATGGGTGATACTGGTAACATCGGTAAACTCTGACGGATCCTTAAAAGTCTCTGACCGCGTTGATCTTCCCAATGTAGGAAAATGAAAAATTCCAAGTGTTTCTTAATTAATTCATATATTATTCCATTGCAGTCAATACGCATCTGTAAACACTTTTCATCCTATTCTTTGCGTTTATCACATTCCGCTACAGAACACAAAAGCTCCGCTGTTTTCTTCTCAAGCACCATATCGCTTCTATCACGATTTATTCATGCTCGTATCACTTCGGTTGTGCGTATCACACCTACCAAACTTTGCTCTTCAGAGAGTTGCCGATAAGTTAGCGGCGCCGTAGGCCGCGAACTCGCCATGGCTCTCTCTACACAATACCATGAGCACAAGCCAAATGTGCCAATTATTATGGAAGATGTGTTTGGCTGGGTGCGGGAAGGCAACGCATTTCAGGTTCGAGTGTGGCTCGACGATCATGAGCATGATCTCAACGTAGGGTAAGTTCATGCCATCTTTTATGCTTAGCGGTCATCTTTTCCTTTTTTTAGAATTGGTTTTTTTATCTTATTCGTTTTATAGCGATGATCATGCCTTTTCTCTGCTTCACTGGGCTGCCAAAGAAGGCCACGTCTCAATAGCTGAGATGCTATTGTCTAGAGGAGCACGAGTGAATGCCACAAATATGGGTGACGATACTAGTCTTCACCTCGCTGCGGCACATGGGCATAGACCAATTGTCGTTGTGAGTTTTTGCTGTTCAATTAGGAATTGGTGTTCGAGAATCTTTTTGCTTTTCTATGCTTTTTTCTTTCAAAAATTGTGCTGCTTATCGATGGTGCGGTCACTGCAAAAACAATAGCATTTTCTTATAATCTAATCAATTTTGAGAGTCTCAGCTTCACATTACGAACTAATATCAGCTTGACAGGCATCTACCTCTTTTCACTGCTCTAGGATGGCTTCTTTTTTACACAATTCCACGCCTTAACATTTCCATATTTTGATAATTGTCACTGTCATTCATTACAAATAGCAATTCTGTATGTTGTGCACTAGTACGTTTACAGTTTCCTTGAAAGTTGTTATTTGGCAAAAAGACGTACTTTTGTTTTTGGGGGCTATTCAGTGCAGCGCTTCTCCGTAACAAATTAGCCCTCTCAAAGGTGTTCGGACGTTGTAATCTGATGTTTTTCGCAGAAGCTTCTCGCTCGCAAAGCCGACGTACATGCGACGAACGAGCACGGAATGACTCCACTGCATTACGCATGCTATTGGGGATATGAACAGATTGCGGAGGTTAGCTCAAAATTCAGTGCCTCTGTTGTTTATCGTTTGATTGGATTTATTTTGAGGATTTGATAATTTCTGGAGCACAAATCGGTGCATGTAATAAGCGAGGGCAAACTCCTATGGATGTATGTCAGGGACCCAGTCGGCAAGCCATCGCTGGTTTGTTGTAGTGCAAATGCTCAAGTTGGACCATCATCCATTTGTTACTTTTAGAAATTGCCATTGAGAACGGACAAAATCCAAACGAACGAATACCCTTCAAGGATCAGACTTGGAAAGGAACGAAGTCTCGCACCCGTGATGCAACTTTGTCCAGATATACAGGAGTAGACGTCTCCTCACTGAACCTCATCACCAAGGTGATTTGAATTAGCTTGATTTTTCTTTTTTATTTATTTTATTTTTTCCACAATTTTGAAAGTATAATCTTGTCGTGCTTGAAATTGGTCATGTCTTTGTTATCTTAGCTGCTATAATTTGCATGCCCAGATCAGATTCTGTTACGAGTTTTTTCTTTCTCAATTGTTGAATGAGTTGAGGGATTTTCGAAGGTGCAACGAGCCTCTCTTTTCTGCAACTTGAGTATCTGGTTTTCGTAATGACTAAAACGTGATTTCTAGCACCCTTTCTGATTTCATCTTATATATAAAGCTGAATGTCTGTTTGTATGTATGTCTGTCTGTCTGTCTGTATGTCTGTACGTATGTTCCGAATAGAAAATTCCATTTCTGAACCGATCCGGACCAAACTTGGCACACATACACTACGGGCCCCGGCGGGTGTCATAGGCTACTTTTCGTCATCGATCGATATCGATTTTATCGATTTTTATCGATTTTTTTGCTGAGTTCACCTACGGGGCTGGGAGTTGGCACAGGGGGGTAATCGAGCATGGGGATTCCGAATACAATATTGGTTTTCAGGATTATCGATTACTTTTATCGATTTTATCGATTTTTTTGCAAAGTTTGAGCTACGGGGCTGGGAGTTGGCACAGGGGGGTAATCGAGCATGGGGATTCCGAATACAATATTGGTTTTCAGGATTATCGATTACTTTTATCGATTTTATCGATTTTTTTGCAAAGTTTGAGCTACGGGGCTGGGAGTTCGCACGGGGGGGTAATCGAGCATGGGGATTCCGAATACAATATTGGTTTTCGGGATTATCGATTACTTTTATCGATTTTATCGATTTTTTTGCAAAATTTGAGCTAGGGGGCTGGGAGTTGGCACAGGGGGGTAATCGAGCATGCTGATCATCCCCAAGGGGGTGATCAGCATGCTCGATTACACCCCTGTGCCAAATTCCATCCCCCTAGCTCAAATTTTGCAAAATCGATAAAATCGATAGAAGTAATGGATAATTCCAAAAACTAATATTGTATTCGTAATCTGCATGCTCGATTACCCCCCTGTGCAAACTCCCAGCCCCGCAGGTCAAACTTTACAAAAAAATCGATAAAATCGATAAAAGTAATGGACGATCCTGAAAACTAATATTGTGTTCGTAATCAGCATGCTCGATTACCCCCTGTGCAAAATCCCAGCCTCGCATGTCAAAATTTACAAAAAATCGATAAAATCAATAAAAGTAACCGATAATTCTGAAAACTAATATTGTATTCGGAATCCCCATGCTCACTTCCCCCCTGTGCCAACTCCTAGCCCTGTAGGTGAACTCTGCGAAAAAATCGATAAAAATCGGTAAAATCGACATCGATCGATAACGAAAAGTGGACTGTGACACGCGCCGGGGCCCGAAGTGTATGTGTGCCAAGTTTGGTCCGGATACGGCGGAGCCGGGTAAGCCAGCTAGTATTCTATATTTAAAAGCTATTGATTTTTTAGATTGCTGAGTCCCATACGGGAGAACTGTGGCGTGGTAAATGGCAAGGAAACGACATCGTGGCTCGCATTCTAGCTGTGCAGGAAGTCACCCCACGGATATCCCGTGATTTTCAGACTGAGTTTCCAGCTCTTAGGTCTGTATTGCTTCTGATTATCATTTGGGTTCTCATCAAATTCCTATCGCTTTTAGGATTTTCGCTCACACAAACATCTGCCCAGTTTTGGCAGCTGCAAATCAACCTCCGAATCTAGTTGTTATCAGCCAGTATATGCCTTTTGGTAGTCTCTACAATGTGCTTCATGAGCAAAGCTGTAAGCTTTTTGTTTAAAAATATTTATGGCAACTAATCATCAACTTTCTAGCCGTTGTCATCGATCACAGCCAAGCCATTCGTTTCGCTGTGGATATAGCTCGAGGAATGTCATATTTACACAGTCTCGATCCTCCCATTCTCAGGTGATTGTTATTTGACATGATACTGAAGTCGAGAGCAAACACAGTTTGTTGAAAAAACATCAAAATTTCGCGTGATAAGTTTGATTAGGATTGAACTGGTTTGCGTATTTGCAGGTTTTTTACAATTTTTGCTAAATGTATGTGGTGATAAAACCATCCTTCTTCAGGTACTACTTATCGAGCAAGCATGTGGTAGTGGACGAAGAGTTAACAGCGAAACTCTCAATGGCAGATACGAAATTCTCATTTCAAGAAGTCGGAAGGTTATACTCCCCTGCATGGATGAGCCCAGAGGGTTAGCACTCCACTTTCCACATGTGTCTTTGATTTTGATGCCAAATTTCAGCACTCCAAAGAGATCCTGAAGACCTAAACATCAGAGCAGCAGACATGTGGAGCTTCGGTATCATGTTGTGGGAATTGAACACTAGAGAAGTGCCTTTCTCAGATCTTCAACCGATGGAATGCGGAATGAAGGTATGTTGAGCATTTATGCATATCTTTTCCTTTCATCGTCTATCGCTGCATAATTCCAGATAGCTCTCGAAGGCCTTCGAGTGCAGATTCCTCCCGGCATTTCTAGAAATATGGGACGATTGATGAATATATGTCTCAATGAAGATCCAGGCAGAAGACCAAACTTTGATCAAATAATACCTATCCTCGAGAAGATGTCACAATGATAATTTGTATATATAGCTTCAATCAAGACCTTGTAACGCTCTAAAGATTATAGAAGTGCCAAGCATAATTTTTATCTTTTTTATTTGCGGTTGATCGTAAGAGAAGATCGATTGAAAATGTATTTTTTCACGTTATGTGCATTGCCAAATTCGGTGCTTTCCATTAACTGCTTGTTCATCCTCGATCGATGCATGCTGGGAGCCGATTTTATGTGATTTTTATGAAATGATGGTTCTCAACCTGACTGCCCAAAGGTTTTCTAATAAAGTTTAGCCTTATCCAAGCGATAAATTTTACTAGAGTATCCAAAGACGACAAAAGACTAAAACGTGCAAAACACAGGCAGGTGATCTGAACTACAATAGTAAAGGATGTCATGTTTCTCTTAACCGATTTCTTAAATAATTTATTTATAACCTGTAGCCGGCAAACCATAGATTTCAAAAAAAAAAGCTGACGGAAGCATGTTGACGACGGTTGACTTTTGGTTGTAGATTTCATAGATGTATAGTAAGCTTGTAGCTTCATTGGTTCAAGTCATACACAATAGAGATCACATACATCATTTACTGGCTGTATCGCGCATTCCAGGCTTGTACCGAATTCCAACAGTCTTGAGTTCAGAAATGACAGCAGATGGCAGCGACCCAGATACCGAGATAGCGTAAATTCCCTTGCACTTTCGGTTGATTTTCTAAACGACATCAAGATAATACTGTCCAATTTCGAACTTGAATTATCAGTGCCCATTGCAGCTGACAACATATGCGCGTAAAGAGATAATGTGCGTTCCGTAGGCACTTTTCACGCGCAAATGTTGTCGGCATTGCAATTGCACCATGTTGCGGATGTAATCTATTAGACTGTGGATCAAATAGCTTATAACATTACCTGCCACTTGCACACCCATGAGCCTTCCGGCATCATAGATGCGATCAATCCATCGAAATTTGTACTGAATTTTTTAAGTTGAGATCAACAAATGTTCATTGCAACACAAAACGATATCATAATTCTTACCTGGTACACTCGTACACCTTATCTGTATCTCCTTTCATATGCAAAACACGGTCGCAGTTTTCGCACCCATCCATTTCGAACTGTTCCAGAGATTTCACTAAAGAGCACAGCAGACATGCTCGAAGATTACGTAGATCACGGGGTACTATCTCAACAGACATTCCTTCTGTAAAGCAGGAACTTACATTATGCCAATTTGCATACACACCATCCTTAGAGGTACAAACGAGTAAAACGCTAATTTTCAGTTGACCAAACATCTTTGAATTTTTACCATATAAAACTTTACAATATGATGAATGTGAGTGCATAAAACCTATACATTTCTATGATACAAACAGATGTAGAGATCGAGGCTCACAACGACAGAGATCACAAAGCTTGATGAATAGGCTTCGGTGTACGGGCGGATCGTCGTGGGGTTTGATTCTGTAAAAAAAAACATTATAAAGTTAGAATTTTTGCGCCCAAAACAAGCCGTTCTTCCTGACTTGCTCGACTATACCTATACATCAACGCTTTTCCTGAAATTATTTTCTAATTATGGCAAACTAACTGATTGAGCATTTTGTGGAGGTTCTTTCAGTTGTTCTACGACGTGAGTAAGACCACTTTCCATGAGCTCCATGGTCTCGTCGTCAGCCATCGAGTCTACTTTTTCTCGTAAAATCTGAAGAAATACAGAGATCAAAAGTTCTCAAGAATTAAAAATCCAAGTCTCTAAATGCTTTCACTAATCATACCTGCATCATTTGCTTTAACCGCGCCTTTCTGCTTTCGGGGCTCTCTTCGCTTCGAACATCATTGGAGCTATTGTTGCTATGGGAAAGCTCCAAACCAGGGTTGATTCTGCTCATGTCAGCCAAGGCACCATTTAGCACCGCTTCTTCGACCAACTTGAAAACCGATGTATTAGTGGAAATATATGCTAAGTCGATATGTATACCTGTTCTGCTTCTGGACCCTCGACTACTTCATCAAGTACTTCCTCCTCAGCTACTACAACGTATTCGCCAATCTTAATACGAACAAATCTGCCCAATTTCGAGACGTAATGTGAGATCTCTTTCGAAAAAAAAACAAAAAGAAAACTAACCTCGTCCTCTACTTCTACTTTCATTCGTTTATGTTCATAGCCACTGTCCCCTATTTTCGGTGCAGGCGAACCTGACTCCACCTCGATAACATGCTGAGGCGAACTCATCACCGTACCATCGGCTAGCAGCTGCGATGGATCGCTACAAATTTTACGCTGATTACATCTCTGGAATACAAGTTACTATACGACTCACATGTCTTCATACATCTGAGGAACCTGTCGTGGTGGTTCTATGGGAGCGGTGGTGTAAACCTCGGAGAACTAAAATGGTCACTTTTACCGACTCGTCTGATGTCGAGACAGACTAATGTGCACAAAATTTGTAAGAGAAATGAATGAAAAGGTGAATGATAGGCACAACAACAAACACATAACAACACATATCACGTACCGTTAACGAGTTGAACTCCGCAATTCGTTCGTTGACGAGCCCAGCATACTCATCTAGTCGTGCACATAGCTCACAATTCAAAAATCGATCTCGGAACATCCTGGAATTCCGTAAATCATATGGTAAGGCCAGTCGTATACTCATTTGTTTGACATAGCATACCTGCAGGAAATCTCTAATACGGGATTGCTGTGGTCTGTGAGAGGATTTCGATTTAATGGTGTCCATCTGTAAAAGACGAAATGGCCCTGGCACGTGTTACTAGCCTATCACCTTTTAGCGAAATCAGGATCAGTTAACTGAGCATCAACAAGCTGAGCAAGTGCGTTTAAATCCATTTCGCGGAACGCTTCGAACATGTCAATCACAATTCCTTCGAATAAAGTTGGATCAGTGGCTCTAGAACGTAAGGATTCTTCCCCTATTTGGAACATATCTCAGAAAACTAACCGGGTCCATCGTCGCAATGCACAGATGATGGCAAAACGGTCGACTCGATTTGGGACCATTTCATCAAGTCGCGCGGCCCAATCAGATAGTAGGTGCCATTCCGCTATCTGTAAAAAACTCTGATATCATGATAGCATGATTAGACTCTCTAGAAAAAGGACCTGAAAGTCTGCAGTGTAGGCTTCGTTACCGAAATAAGCATCAAGGAGCGGTGGCCAATCCGGTGTGCAATCCGTAACAATTGTATCAACCGGCGTTGCTGACCTACACTTATGAGTTGATAAGTAAAAGTAAAGCGCAGTAAAACTCCAAACAAGAGATATCTAAACATACACGGAACGCAGTTTTTCCAACAAAGCGACTTTGTCTCCATCCTGAGAAATGAAAACACAGGCACATCTCGGCATGTCATTGACATCGAACACGATTACAAAGAAAAGATGAAGTTCGAAGTTGCTAATCAGCAAATTCACCTAAAAATCAATGTGTCAAATGTTACACTCTGTTGAGGCACATGTCAAGAATTATACTAAGAAGACCGACTTCTTCTATGCATGCGGCTCGTGCTGAACAAGTTCTCCAGAGTTCCCGCATTTGGGATGTCATGATACCTGAAATATAGCATTGGAGACTACGCATGAACATATGCCGCAATTTACCAAATGATATTCCCTGATTCGGAGGTTTTCCATTTTCAGGTAGTTTGACACCAAAAGTTGATTCAGGCTCAAAGAAAGCTGAAGTCTGAAAATGCGCGAATTGTCACATTGGAGAAACATCTGACAACGAGAGGTAAATCATTCAGATATTTCCCGCACAAGATTTGCTCCAAGAGAAGATTATGCAAACAGATGCCGTATACTAGCCAACAAACCTCGAACAGCACTTTGAGCGACACAAATTCGTTCTCATTCATCACAAATCTCGTCATGTCTTCAACATTTCTTTCGGTAACGTCGAACCCATCCATAGTGAATCCTTCTATTTCTGCAATAAGCACATAAAATGGAAACATAAAGATCAACTAAGAAGAGGGAAAATACGGAAAGCGGGAATGAACAAAGAGTACCTCGAATGCGGTCTAGCATGGCATCAAGAGGCACTTTATCGTCCACCACGTAAAGGTATTCATCTAGCACAATGCGCTCGTTGCTGCTAAGTCTGAGCAAAGCAGTGCCCATGCGATGACCAGTATGCTCAACACATCCGATCACAGTGAGACGACCATCTACCCAGTGAATAATCTGCAATTCTCGAACAAGTGCTGCAACCATATAATCTGACTTGTTTTTGAGAAAAAATATCCCAAGAATATAAGCAAACAATCGCAAGATGGCAAACGTATGCGGAACACCATAGAGAAAGGCACCTAACTAAAGCGAGTTCAACTCACTCGTAAAAAAGCTGCACAATTACGTCCACATTTCGTTGGCCGTCGTGTAAGTCGACGTTTTGTGAACTCAGGATAGTAATCTCGTCCCGGCACTTGCTTTGGTCGTAAGCCGCCGCTTCGCGCACAGTACAGATATAACACCTGCGAAACTGACAAATTAAACGTGAAAATGAGAATCTGTGCTCACTTGATAATCATTGCCCTGTTTTATTCCCATGCGTTTGACATAAGTTATAGAGAAGACCTCCTGGACTGAGTTGAACCATTCCTAGAAAAAGATAAGTGCACATGCAATCTGAACATAAACTGACCAAGCACTTACTTCGTACTCTGCAATATCACTGAAATCACGATGGACCAATCCTCCTACTCGATGAGCCGTGATAACATGGTCTACGAAGGCTTTGTGAGAAACGAAGGTGAGTGGGCAGTCACAACAGGCAACCTACAAAAACTTATCCTTCCCTCGTTAGCAAAGAGCACGCGTTGGATTGCGAGACCGCGAGAAACCTATGAAAGAACGGTGCGCCTCAGACTATGTAATGAAAGCTCTTAAGTAGATATTTGGGAAGCAAAAAAAGCATTTTGATTATACCTCCGAGGTTTCAGTGGCACTAACCGGCTAGTGTTCATAAAACCAATAAGTTTAGAAAGATATCCGGCACGAGATAAAACAATTTCAGTGTTTCCAACCACTTCCCAGCGAAAACAACATGACCCATTAAGATTGCAATTTTGCCGAAAACTGCATTGGAAGTCCGATAAGTAAATGCAGAAAAAGCAAAATTCATATGAATTCTATGCAACTTCTATATCGCATGAAAAATCCGCAAAATTCGCAAGCATGATCGATAAGAGTACAGTGTAAGTTAGATCTAAGATAACCTGATGATAAGAGTGGATCTGCCAAGATACCTGTCTAGCTGAATACGTAGGATTGGTAAAGCCTCCATGCACTTTTCGCATATGGCTTGCTCGAGTGGATCGAGAGATACCACGCCAAGGACAGCCGGTGACGTGACACAAATACTTACCATCAGCAACAAAACCTCCCTGAAAGCTCGCAAAATAGGACTATAATACAAAAACAAAAAAGAAGAGGAATGAGGACTCAAAAGAAACTTGAAGATAATCATAAATATTCAACAAAAGCTCTAAGCAAACAGTGACTTACAATAGGAGCCTTTTTCTTGGGTGGCACGTAATCAGGATGGACGCTTCTAACATGCTGTGAACGGGAAGCCCTTGATTAGCAACTATTAGTTGGTTAGTAAGCATTTCGAATCGAAGAAGAGCATCAACTTACCGATAACTCCCTCGCCAAGTGCAACCTTCCACGGGACATGAGAATGGAGGCACAAAAGTCTTGGGATCAATGTATATCCCATCTTTAGTGATTCGCTGTAAAATCAATTTAAGTAGATTAATAGTATAGTCCTCTATTTACTTGTAGGATATATCGCGGAGGCATCACCCAATCCTTGTGGCACCATTTCATGTGATCGCAGCGAAGTGATCTGTATGCGCCCCTCCAATCACAATCCGGCATATAACATTTGTACTTTCCATTTGGGTCGCTAACACGGATCTTCGAATTTGGTGCAGGTTCCTAGAATTCAAACTTATAGTTCTTATCAGCACTATCAAGTGATAGGCTAAACAACTTACAGTGCCGGGAGGATTCTTCGGTCGACCCCTTCTGCGATTTGCATGCGGTGTAGGGACAAACTCACTATCAAACTTCTCTTCCGAGTAGACCTGAAATAACGAAATCTAAAAAGCAGTTTTCTCGATGGAAGACGTACATCAACTCCACTGTAATGAGAGAGCTCATAGCGTCCGCCCTCCTCGAATTCTTCAATTTCCGAGTAAGCATCACTGGAGTCGACGTGGTGGTAGTCGTCAATACGAGAAACACTGGCTTCGAAAGGGTGAAGATCGTCAAGCTGAATGAAGTTCAAGAGTATGCAAAGGGACCCTAATGATAAGAATGGTTAACCTCTGATTCAATTTTGACTGTTTGTGAGCTCGTGGTGGGTATTTTGCGAGGAGCAGCTTCTTTCCTATTCGCGTCTTCACGCGTGGGCTACACAAGATGAGATCAAAACAGAAGAAATGACTAATGCTTATAATTAGTCATTACCTTACGAGCGACATGCCGAGATGTGCTTTGTCCGGATGACCCCTGGGCAGCGTTTTGGTAATCGTAGCCGGCATGATCAACTCTCAGGTGATAGTTCCTAGCAGAACGGCTTTCACTGCTGTAGTCACAAGAGGGAACCGGGCATGGATAGTAATGAGCGCCATCATCACTAAATACAAAAAAGTAGATACAGATCTCCACTGCTCTCCTGAAAAGTAGATGAAGGGTCAAATACACAAATTTCTTCTAGTGAATGAGATTCAATTGTTCTTCTGCTCTATTTTTCGATTTGGTGAAACCAATAACTCTCCAAAAACAAAAAGACTGAAGTCCAAGTTTGATGCATGAATTCGTGTTTTGTTCAAATAAAGAGCTAAATGCACAAACTTACTCGATCGGTAAAGTCCCTCGAGCTGAGCGGGTACTACGTCGCTCCGAGGTTTGCGTATTCAAAGCCTAAAAAGAGTTACCTAAATTTTGTTAAAAATATAGCACAGCTACAGATTTTCAACTAAAAGTGAAACGTGAAATATCTGCGCAGCATGAGTTGTGAATAAGAAGCAGATAATGATATCCTCTTCAAGGTGTTACAGCTGCGCGTAATTCAGACTGGATCCTGATTACGGCAACTATGGCACCAACCTTAGAGCACAGAAATTACCTACTGTTTACCTCCACGACTGAGCTTCGTGATGGTCCACTTGCTATACTGATGCGTTAGCATACATTTTCGTATAGGAAAACGGTCATAGGTTGCCGACAACTGTTGTCGGTTGTTGTCGGTGTTGTCGGTGTTGTGTGTTGTCGGGGTTGTTGGGGTCAGAGGCAGTTTAGAGAGTGAGAGGAAAACGGTCATAGGTTGCCGACAACTGTTGTCGGTTTGTCGCTGTTGTCGGTTGTTGTCGGTCTTGTGTGTTGTCGGGGTTGTCGGGGTCAGAGGCAGTTTAGAGAGTGCGCGAAACGTGGAGGCTCTCATGAGGTCCTACAACGACCGGCCACCTCGGCAACACCGACAACAACCGACAACCTATGGCCGTTCCCTAAGCTTTACCAAGCATACTTAAAGCCTGTACTAATTTAAGGTATGTCAAGAACCAAATATCTAGCCTCCTTAAAATTTATAATCTGACCCAAACATTGGAGAACCGCGCGAAATTGAAGTCCCTATCTATCCGCAGAACAGTCGAGATTAACAAGTTGATGACTGTGTGCATACAAGCGTATGCACGCCGAGGCTCCCTTTCAGCACTTTCATGCAACAGTTTTCATGTGCAAACGAAAAGTTCTAAGGTAATTTCTATGCAGAATGATACTGATGGTTCGATTGTCATACAGAACGCAGAGCAGCGCTGAAGCTGTTCGGGAGTCTAAACCGCAGATATAGATATTCAGTCCATTTTGATTTGGTTCAAAATGACTCTGTCAACGTGTTAAGATCTGATGACATCATAATCCTGAGGTGGCAGGAGCACAACACGGATGTGTTTTCTTGTGTTTTCACTCGCTCTAGCTACTATTTTCTGCGAATAGTATAGACATTACCTCAGTAGCGGAAAAACTGGAATCGCGGGCGGATTTCCTTGTTCTGGTTATCCTCTTCGAGGTGCCTGAAGACAGACAAAAACTTCTACAACAAAATGAACTTGCACAAGAACACCCAACGAAATTTTAGACGCAGAACGACAATACAATTTCTCAGTGCTTACCGATGTTCTCTGGTGCGTCGTTGACGGAAGGCATTCCATTTTGTGAGGGCGTTTGCTTGTGTTCCATTATCCGACTTTCTGATTCTTTTTATCTTCAGTTCGCTTTGCCTGTAAATTCAGCACTTTTCAAACACTTATTTCAGTTCTAAGAGCCAATTTCATTAATATTAAAGAGAATTTGCTAGGATGCAGATACTACAAATTGCGATTGAAAAAAGTCCACATCTTCCACATATTTTTATGGATATTATTTACTTGCTTTATGACAAAAAAGCAAAACCATTCTAAAATAGCAGAAATTGTGCACAGTACCAAATCGTTAGGCGTACCAACTCGCTTTCGTCTGCATTCTCACAAAATTCAGAGGAATCGCGGTATTCTTGGTTTTGTTCATGAAGTTCATGGCCAATCCTACAAGAACAAAACATCAGCTTCTCGTAACACGATTAAAAATCTTTTCTCAAGTAGCGAGGCATCTGCTCGTCAGTTAGTGGTTTCTACTCTGTGCTGTATTTTTTTAAAAGGTCTTCATTTGAGCTTGGCAGAATTTTCAGGTGTTTAGCAAGATTTCTAGATGTTTATATTGAGATTGATGAGATTTTGGACCCTATGGTAGGTGCCAGACTTATTCGATTCAACCGATTCATCCTATTCCGGTTGGGTGGGGGACATTAGGTCGCCGAAAGAGGGCGGTCCCCGCGGTCATTTGCGACAAATACGCACCCTTGTACATACGCGGACATGCGTTCCTGCAGGGAATCCGCGCGGGACTCTTCCAAATTCGGCGACCTAATGTCCTCCATCCGTTGCCTGATAAGTCTGGCACCTACCTATGACTCTAACTAGTCCTGCGGCTCACTTTGCTGTCCGTTAAATGGGTGAGGAGTACATTTTATTGTTTTCACATTCTTTTCTGCTCAGCATGTCTAGATAGGTGATTACAATTCGATTACCGAAATGATGTCCATGACAGCGGATGACCCAACCTATTCAGCAAGGCTATACAGGGCTCCTAAATTGCAGAGTCGTTTGCACCAGCGGTCGCGCGACCGCGTCGCGCCCGTGCATTTTGCCGGCGCCGGCGCCATCGATCGAGGCGGCGCCATTGATGCCCGGGCGCGACGCGGTCGCGCGACCGCTGGTGCAAACGACTCTGCAATTTAGGAGCCGTGTACTTGTACTGTGGTTCCGATTTGGATCCGACTGTGGAGAACATGCACTTTGCGAGTGAATCTTCAATCTCGGTGACCGCGCGCGAACGCTTTTTGGTGAACTATAGGGGTGCCCTATAATTTTTTAAACCACTTTTTCTTCCTCTAGCCACAACTCATGTTCTTCGTTCCTTGAATGGGTTTTGTGATATCATTCGACAGAGTAAAGCGAGCTTTACAAGACCGCCCCTCAATTTTTGCTTAAAGTTTGTTGGCATGAAGTTCGAAGCCGAAAAAAGATCCCGATGCTCGAAAAGTCGAGAAAAATTCATATCTCCGTCTAAAGAATTCCTACGAACTTTGTACTCGCTTAGGCATATACTATCCGCATCCGGTATTCATAAAAGGTGCCCAAAAAATAAGTGCACACTGTTTGATCGTTGTTAACTCTCTTGCTTTCATGTCTTTTCCCAAACTTGAGGTACCATTCTATAGAGCGAGGTTCAACTTAGATACCAATATGGAGCGAATTACCAATCACTCTTCGTTGCTGTTGGATTACGGTATGAATTTTCAGCATCCAGCGTCACGGTGGCCTAGGCCTTTTGATGAAATAATCAACAAAATCTCAAAATCTGTGTAGTAGTTTTCAGGCGTGCTGATTTCACTACTAACTTCTCACCAGTTTTTCAAGCTTTGTTGATGGCGTATTCGCATTTCTGACGAACATTGGAAAAACCCTTGTTACCCTAATCATAAAATAACTTACGAAAGAAGCATTATACTGAAGTGAAAATTTTATATTTAGACTCAGCTACTAGCGATTAGCCCAGTTTAAGAGTTTCTGGCTTGTTTGGCTTTCTTTCTGAGGCGCTTTTAAAGGCTTAAAATTCTCCTCGAAGTTCCTACAGTAATCCCACAGTAATGAAGAGCGATTGATAATTCGCTTCATACGTTCATCTAAGTTTAACCTCGCTTTATAGAATGGTACCTCAGCTTGGTAAAAGACATGAAAGCGAGAGAGTTATTAACGATCAAACAGTGAGCACATCTTTTTGGGACACCCTGTATAAACATTTTCATTTTCTCCATGGCTAGGATGGAATTGTCTTGTCTTTGTCAAAACGCCTCGGCTGCTCCCAGATCTGGATTCTGTGGTATAATCCTTTGAAAGTTTATTCCAGAATTAATGACCTTTTATAAGCACAGTTCTTGAGAAATCAGATTTAGCGCAAAAAAAAACCCCTGAAAAAGGCGACTTTTTCGCATTTTTGGCTTATTTTGTGTGTCAGTCGAGCTCAAGATATGTAGAAAATAAGCAAACGGATATAAGAGCTGTAGAGAGTATATGCACAAGCAAGTAAGAAGCTCGTAAGACTTTTCTTGACGGAAGTAAAAATTTTTTTCGATTTTTCGGACATTTGAATCTTTCTAGGTTTTCTCTTCGAACTTTATGAGAAACAGTCTTTGAGCAAATACTAAAGTGCTACGTTGTAGAGTTTGTTTTGCCTTGTCGATTGGTGCGGCAGAACGTATTTGAAAGACAAGAAGAGTACGATTTTCTGCAGGAGAAAGTAAAAACGGGGAAAAAATGGACGTCCTATTATATCAAATTGTCGCCCTCCCTACTGCCCGGAACTAATGACAACTGGGCGGATAACATAGATCGCCGTTGCCAGGCAGTGGCGTACCGAGGGGGGGGGCGCGCCCCCCCCCCCCCGAGAATGGGTCGCGAAATTTTTGAAAGTTACTTATATGGGTTATAAAAATGTGCAAATGACTTGTTTATTTTTGTTAATAATTAAAATAATTTTTGAAAATTTTTAAAAATTCAAAATAGCCTTGTAAAAATTTTTTTGGGGGGCGTGGCGTCAGCCACGCCCCCTTTTTTCGGATTTTAGGGGTTGGGGACCCGCAAAAATTCTGAGGAGCACTCCTTAAATTTTTTCAGAGTGCGTGGCCTACGCCACGCACCTTCATTCGAAAATTTTTTGTCGCCCCCCCCCCCCCCCCCGAGCGGAAATCCTGGGTACACCACTGTTGCCAAGGGCCATACTGCTATATTTTCTGTATTTCTGCTGCCAGTACTAGCACAAACAATTTAGCTCCAAAAGAGTACAAAAATTATTTTTTGCTAATAAGATTTTTACCACTTTTGCGATTAAGTTTGAGGTAGAGTTGTCCATGTGCCAGCGTCGTACCAGCGCCATGCCGTGCCGTGCCAGCGCCCACGTGGACGCGCCCCGCATTAGATCAACCGCGCTAGCACGATGTGGCATACTGACAAGGGAAGGATGGTTGGTCGAAGTGGCCTTTTGAGGTGAGTTGTATACCACCATGATGAAGGGCATAAAACGCTGATTTCAAATCTGTCTTCCTTATCTGCGGCGCTTTATTGGACGAGGAGTTAGCGTTTAAAGGAGCAAAAAATGAGTGTTTTTTGGGATCAAAACGGTTGCTAAAATTCATTCGGCGTTGTATGAGACAGCTAGTGCGGATATAAAGCGCTAGGAATAATGTTAGTACTTTTTTATACTACTAGTTGACTTACCCGGCTCCGCCCGGCCCTGTCATTATTATATTCGTAATCAGCATGCTCGATTACCCCCTGTGCCAACTCCCAGCCCCGTAGCTCAAATTTTGCAAAAAATCGATAAAATCGATATCGATCGATGACGAAAAGTAGCCTATGACACCCACCGGGGCCCGATGTGTATGTGTGCCAAGTTTGGTCCGGATCGGTTCAGAAATGGAGTTTTCTATTCGGAACATACGTACAGACATACAGACAGACATACAGACAGACAGACAGACAAACAGACATTCAGCTTTATATATAAGATTTGCACATTCAGTTTTTCCCCAATAGACCCTCATAACTTCTCGTGCAGAAACGACGCGCCGCAGATAAGGAAGATAGATTTGAAATCAGCGTTTTATGCCCTTATGGTATACCATCATCGCAAATGGCCACTTCGACTGACCATCCTTCCCTAGTGAGATTGCATGGAGTGCCTTCATAGTGAAGAAAATTGAAGTAATCAGATTGATTGATTAACGATGCGCCACAAGAGATGGTAAAATGCACGGGCTTTTGAAGATTTGGCCAGAATTTAAGAAATCTTGGTAGAGCGATTTGCTGAACGGAACCAAAGGGGGAAGAGCATGTTATCATCACAATTACTGCTGTCAAAATGTTCTAGGGAGTAGATCTAAAAATACTTAAGACGACTTACGTTATGAGAATCAAAAGGCATCTAATTTTCTTTTGCTCCATCGATCCAATGTTGAGAAGCTTACCAGTTGAGACTTGTCTTACGTCTGAGCACGTACTATGTAGGTATAGAAACTTTGCTCTCTTTCCACTTTTTTTTTTCAAGTTTTTGCTTTGAATTTTTCACATTTCGTTGCGTTTTCACTTTTTCACATTTCATTGCTATTTTATCCACTGTTGGATTTCAAATCCACAAATTTATATTTTGGACTAACCCATCTGTCGTCCGAGTATTCGAAAGTCTTTCGGATAGAGCTTTTTCTCGAATTGGAGCCACATTGTCAAATATCATCACGAGATTGCTGGAAGATGTTGATTTTTTGCATTTACTCGATTATGCATTCTTTCAAATATTATAAATTATCAAAATATATGCGATCATCCGCTTATTCATTTTTTTAAATAATTAAGTTTGTTCTGTCACCATATTCGACTACCTACCCTGAATTTGGCAGAATCCAGTGGCATGTCGAATCGCGAAATTCTTAAAATTGCTTATATGAGAGTCATAAGATTGTGTAAGTCACTTGTTTATGGAATAATAAAAAATTTCAAAAATTTTTTGAAATTTCAAATTAGCTTTAAAAATGCCCTCACGTCCCTTTCGTCTGTGATTTCGGGGTTATGGGCCGCAACAAAAGTGGGAAGCCCTCTAAAAGCTTTTTCGGGGTGCGTAGCTGACACGCACTCCAGGCACCTTTGTTCAAAGAATTTTGCTTTTTTATCCCCCCCCCCCCCTCCAGCTCCTAATGGCAATTCTGGGACCACACTAACAGAATCAATGTTCGATCATCCATATTCGATCATCCAAACATGTTCATTGTAGTATTCAAAATTCATCTTAAAGATACCCACCAATCGACTTTTCTCTTGGAGCAAATTCATCTTCGATTTGAAAATTGTTGCGAATTCTATAAGCTTGCCAAAGATTTGAGCGCGAAATTTCTTTGGTGGATGTATACGAATTTTTTCGGAAAAGGCGTAATTCTCTTTGAATTGTGGAGATGTTTGTCCTCAACATCATTTTCTCAAGATATCAATCCATCACTTTATGATGTACACTATGATGTACTCGTGCTCCAGAATGTTCTCGGACTGTGATATACTTCGACCAGATTAATGCGCAGTAACATGAGAAAAAGCTGAAATTCTGATTCTAGTTGATGATCGCACCACTTGCTAGCCTCACTTCGAGGCTCTCACTGCTTCCTGTTCGTGCCATAGGCTCAACTCCTGTACAATGCTCTGTCTTCATGAAGCGACAAAAGAAGATTGATCCAGAGGTGAGTGCGATGTTTCTGCAGCATGCTGTTTAATGCAACATACTAGAATATATTTAGTTTCAAAATTGTATCTTCCGTTTTTTGATAGTCTCAAAGGTCTGGATTACCAGACAATCTGCAGCTGGGTTCACGTAGCAGTATAGTTTAACCCAAATAGTTCGTCAGAGTGGCAAGTGTCTAGAAAGCTAAAAAAAATTGCAGAATGAGCTAATACCAGTAAGCACTTGAGCAAATATCTTATTGTTGTTCGATGCTGTTTACTCTATCTTGGTCAACGCTTTGTTATCTGCTCTTAGTCCTGCAGTTATCACGGTTTTTTTTTCAGATTGTAAGTTAATTTTGATTTCCAGATTGCGAAACAGCGAGAAATTCGCAAAAGAAAACGTCTGGAAAAGGAAATTAGACAAATGCAGAAGCATAGCAAAAAGCCGAAACATGTTGATGAGCTTACACTCGATGTAAAATCTGCGAAGAATATCGAGTAAGTGTCTTACTTGAAATTCATGGGTTATGTGGACGAGAATAAATGAGCACTTAAGCGAACGACGGCGAGAACGTGTGGAACTTACTGAAGAGCAAATTGATGCTCGTGCTGTGTCTTTAAAGGTGAGTTCTGATATGTCTTGCATAGAGGCAGTGTCCTCAAGCCGTTGTTTTGTCGGTAGATCAAAAGACTCTTGAATTTGAGTGAACTCTAGCCTGTCACCCATACCGTACCCACTCCCGGAACACTCATTGTATACGGTACTGGGCGAGAGTCTGAAGAGGGATTCCATGGTCGCGAATAAATCATAGCAGCTGCCGCCTGCGAGGATAGGCCTCCCAAAAGTTTTTGTAGAAATCCACGTACTCAGATTTCCGTGGAATATCTCCATAAGTTCCCAATAATAGACAACAGAATTTAATGACTGTATTGACCATGAACATCGTTTATACCAGGAATATGCCCGAAGTCGAAACGAATTGCAACGCAAGGACGACAATTGGGTACGCAGTGCCCTGAAGGCTCAACGGAAGGCTTTGCTTGAACTCAAAAAATTGGATCCCGAACTATACGAAAAGGTTTGTGCACTGCATGTAGCTGTTAGTACTGACTGCGTTAATTACCTATGCGGTGAATTTTGCGTAAAGGCCCTTGAGGACTTTTGAAAAGCTTCGATTTTTAGCTTTCTGTAGTATCTGCAAAATTAAGAGAAAATAGGCTATTTGTGCATCAAACGAAAGCCCTTGAACAGCTCCGTCCAATTTTATACAGACGTTGGCCAACTCTCGCTTTTATTTTACGAAATCCTTCTTAGTTTTGATCATCTCTTTAACTTGCTTTCTAACATCTCATTCGAGCGATTTCGGCAAACTTATCTACAATATTTATTGCTTTAAATAATAGTGACTATGTCAGCTATATTAGGGTTGGATACACTCCCCCCCCCCCCTCATAAAGGTAGCTAAAAAATTGGAAGTGCTCTACGTGGAAATTCCAATGCACTTGCACGTCATCAACTTCTTCCAACATTATAGAGATTCACATTAGTATTACACAGAATTCTGAGGCGTGTCGCCTAAAATTCAAGAAACTTCTTCGGAACTTATATCGGAAAGCATGGCTAACTACAAGTACTTTGTTCAAAACCTTTGCTCTTTTTACATGTGACTTGACCTCACAAGGAAATTAGATAGCTTTCTCAATCTGTCTAGACGGTCAGTGGATGTGAAATTCAGTACGATAACGGCAGTTTACTCCTCTATACCCGGGAAATCTGCAAAAATCTCAAGGACTTCAGAGGACTAGTTATTTGTTGTGCAGTTATCGTACTGAATTTCACATCCACTGACCGTCTAGACAGATTGAGAAAGCTATCCAATTTCCTCGTGAGGTCAAGTCACATGTAAAGAGAGCAAAGGTTTTGAAAAAGTATTTGTAGCCTGAAACATGGTGGCTAAGTTTATTTTGGTATTGGGCGGTCTGAGAAATTTTTTTGGAACGGGAGAAGGGATTTTTCCGATTTTTTTTTTGTAATGCTTTCCATTTTTTTGTGGCCTATAATGCAGGAAATGCAGGAAGGCAACAATCGCGCCCCAAAGAATTGCTTTTGAATGTTTCAAAAAAATATGATAAGGTATTTAAACTGAGAACAACGAACAAAAAACGTATAAACCTTTCTTAACCCATGTAGGCTCAAAATTTCGCGATCCATTCTCCAGGGGCCAATTTCGCCGCCTGAGATTCCTGAGACTTTAGAAATTTTTGTACCAGAAAATGGTCGAGGAGGCATAGGACGGAAAAGGGGAGGGAGGAGAGGGGGGAGGAGAGTTTAGAAGTTTTGTAATTGTCCGCGCGAGCTGTTCAATCATGCACTGCACCTATTCCTGATTCTGAAAAGATTAATCCAAGGACGCGGTCAGCGCAACCTCTTACAAAATTCTCTGCTTTTCTTCCCGTCCCCTCCCCATCCCTTTCATCCTGCATATCCTTGGTGATTGCGTATGCTCGACTGTAAACGCATGTTGACCACTTTTTCCGAAGCCATAATCTTTTATGTGGCATGAGAGTACCGGTATTTGTAATGTCTGGTGGTTATAATCATTCACTTTTTGTTGGGTACTTAAACATGAAAAGGTTTTTACGAAAGTCGTTGTAAGAAAGTTCCAAAGTTCAATTGACTGAATTTTTTTTTGTATATGGTTAGCAAGATCTTGAAAATATGGTGAAGCATCGTCGCGGAGTAAGTTCCGTGGGTGTATGCTGCAAATCTTTGGGGATTTTGAGAATGAAAATCACTTTTTTCATTTTTTTTTCACATGATTGACTTTCAGGCAGTTGCACCAGCATCCACTTCTTTGCCTTTGGTCATTCAAGGACCAGGATTGACGCCTCCTATTGAAGATTATCAGTCTCCTGATGGGGATTACATTGATACCACAAGGTCTTGGACATGATTTATTATTATAAACTCTGCTCGAAGCTTTGTAATCATTGAAAAATGCCAGGATGTAGCAGATAGCTTTTCTTGAATGTTCTGAAAGGATAGTAGACTCCATTGATTAGAGAAGTCTTGACTTTAACTGTCGTCTTCATGAAAATTCCTGTTATACATTTTGAAAGCTCAATTCTTGTTCCCTCATTCTATTGTTTTTGTATTCTCATAGGTAAATCTGTGATTTACACGATGTATTTGTCTTTGTGAGATTGTTGTAGATGTGCGCGTTTTTACCAAGTTCTGAATATTGTACTTTGTTGCATCGATGAACAAATTTGTGACAATAGAGTAGAGAGGGGGATCTATCTAGATTTTACAGTCGATTAAGTGCCTTTGCGGTGGCGACAACATTTTTGCAAAAAAATACTATGCTCGCGAATGCCGGCAACTTGTTTGCGATTTGCGCGTGAAAAGTGGCCTTGGCGAAAACTTTATTTTCACGAGCAAATGTTGTCGTCTACGCAAAAGCACTACTCAACCGTTATAGTAGGTTATGAATATTGCGATTTTTTAGGTCATAAGATACTGCAAGTTGATTTTTCTCCATAATATTTCTAGCAGACTTATTAGTATAGTTCTTTATTTTTTCTTCTCAATTCTATGATGTGTTTACCACTAAAATAAATTAGAATATTTATTAAGCAAGGATCACACACACGCTAAACAAGCACAACAACTAGCATGAGAAATCTCTCCTTACTCAAGGCTTTGCCTGTATCTCCTACACAAGAGGGGGTTGAGGTCAACATAAAGAAACAGGGTGGTGGTTTCATCGCGCTTTTACAAAGCTTGGATTCGTTTTGCCTGAGCCTCCAGTTGGTCGGCAACTGGCTTTGGTAGATCGGGTCCAACCTGCGCTTCGAAGAATTTCTTGCTTTCTTCAATGTCCTCTTTCCAGTATTCCTTGGGCAGCGACATCAGTTCATTCCAGTCAACATTTGGCAAGCCATCAAGGTTGATGCTACCGGCTTTTGGCACATATCCAATTGGAGTTTCTTCCTGCAAAAATGAGCATTTGTCAGTGCTTTGCCAGAATTTGGGAAGTTATACTGCAAATAGGCAGCCCGCGGATAACTGGCACAATTTGTTAACTCCAAAATTGCATGTTTTGTGGCAGATATCAGCGCGGGTGGAGCCGATCTTGTAGAGGCCTAACCACGAAATCTTCCACTTACAGCAATATCAGTAGCGCCATCAACCCTTCTGAGGATCCAGTCAAGAACACGGATGTTATCACCATAACCAGGCCACAAGAATTTGCCATCCTTCTGACGGAACCAGTTGACGTGGAAGATCTTGGGAACCTAAAAAAATTGACTATTTTCAATGTGTAAATTATCGAGAATATCGAAAATTACCTTATGTGGGGCTTTACCAAGGTTAAGCCAGTGCTGGAGGTATTGTCCGAAGTTGTAGCCCATGAATGGACGCATAGCCATAGGATCATGCATAACCTAAAACAACGGATTGTTGGTCCCGCAAAGATTATCAAGCGTCAGAATTTCCATAAATTATGGAAGTGCTAAAAGATAAGCTCTATTCTGGACTAAAAGGGTAAGTCATGAAGGCATTTGAGCGAGTTGCAGCGGCGCGTTGCCTATGGTAACGCGTCGCGCACGCGTACGCTTCGCTCAGCTTACATAGCCACCCTTCGTCTGGGATTAAACAGTACTTACCTGTCTGCCAGTAAATTCGGCTGCTGCAGTGGCTTCAGATTTTACGAGCGCACCAACAAGGATACCATGTTCCCATGAGAAGCTTTCGAAAACCTTGAAATTACGGTTTGATGAAAAACTGGCCAAGAAATTTCGAATGTAATTCTGCGATTACGTACAAGTGGGACTCCTTCTGGACGTCTACCTCCGAAGATAATCGCATCGATAGGTACTCCTTCGGGAGCTTCCCATTTTGGATGGATGATAGGGCATTGACCGGCTGGGGCAGTGAAACGTGAGTTCGGGTGAGCAGACTTTCCTAAATCAAACAAAATGAAGTGTAAGCACGGTGTAGTATAAAAAAAGTATTGTAGTGTTCCTGCGTCGCTGACAACTTTTGCGCGCAAAATACGCCATTGTTGCTTTACGGCCAATTCTTTCCGCGCAAGTCACAAGCAAGTTGTTGTCAATTACAAGCATGGGATTTGTTTCCGCGCAAAAGCTGTCATCACCGCAGAGGCACAAAAGACTTGAAAGAAGTTTAGAAACTGGTTCTGACCAACCTTCATCACCAATATGCCATTTCTTGTTGAGCCAGGTGGTGATTTCGTAAGTCTTCAGTTGTTCATCAGTAAGTTTTTTCTAGAAGCAAATTATATTCACAAAAATCAATTGAGAAAGTATGTGTCGCAGCACTTACGGTCTCTTGGAGTTCCTTCTCAAGACCTTCCCAGAAGTACTCTCCGTCTTGGGTTTCGGCAACATTTGTGAAGATCGAGTTCTTCTGGAAGCAAGCCATAGCCATAGGGTTTGTCTTGTTAGAGGTTCCTGAAATCAGGAGAAAATAGAAATAATTTTATTAAGCTTTTATAAGAGGAATAAATTACAAATTTACCTGGCGCGACTCCGAAGAAGCCAGATTCGGGGTTAATAGCGTACAAGCGACCATCAGCTCCGAATTTCATCCATGCGATATCATCTCCTGGAATGTTTGGTCATAAAATCAGCGTAAAAATAGAAAAAACTGAAATTTTTTTTGCGATTTCTCGACAAGCAGATCAAATCTCTTGGTGGGGATAATCGTTTTCTTTTCTTTGAAATTTAAGCGGAAAAACAAGCAGGCAAACGCCATTACCGCTTACGCAAATGCTGCACACTAGATGCAGGGCACCTGACATTTGGTGTCATGTAAGCCAAATCACAAAAATAGATGAGATAGCCTTTAAATATGCTTGTAATGATGAATAAAAACTCTTCTCTTTAATCGAATTTCAGTTAGAAAGAAGAGGAGAAGGAAAATCGTTTGTCATCCTCTTTTTTTACGCTACACCAAACGTCAAATGCCCGCCATTTAGTAATTCGCATTTAATTAACCGGTTCAAGTTAGCGGTCTATGTAAGTTCTACCTTACGAGCCAGTGCTGCTTTCCCACATGCCATAGCATATGGTACAAGGATCAGTAGTCCGCGAAAATAATGTTTATTTGGATCTCCCAATTTTCAATACAAAAGGCTAACCGCTCACCTATTACACGAACTTTCCATCCAGGAACAGTGGGCTGGAGCATGGCAAGGTTGGTCTTTCCGCAAGCGGATGGGAAAGCAGCGGCCACAAATCTCTCTTGTCCTTGTGGGCTGGTGATACCCATGATCTGAATTTGGGAAATATTAGCCCAATATCGATTTTGAAGTCATGATCTTGAAATCTATTTTACCCACCAGCATGTGTTCAGCCATCCATCCCTCGTCGTGTCCAATGTTCATGGCAATTCGAAGAGCGAAGCACTTCTTTCCTAGAATAAAACACTCATAAAGCAGACGAGGAGTACGGTAGGGGTAGAAAAAACTCACCAAGAAGTGAGTTACCACCGTAACCAGATCCGAATGACCAGATCTCCCTCTCTTTCGGTCGGTGTGCAATCATTGTCTTTTCTGGATTGCAAGGCCAGTGGTTAATTACCTCTCCTGGAAAGTTTTCGGAGTTTTAATGGGTAAACTGATGTGAGGTTCAATCAATATACATACTTTGTAGAGGGAATGGTGCTCCAACGGAGTGAACACCACGAACGAAATCGCCATCACCAAGTGCTTGAATTACCGCAGTACCCATACGTGTCATGATCTGCATGCAAAGAACCACATAGCTGAAAAAATTGTTTTAGGGGGTCATTCGAAACCAGTGGGGTGCCATGTTCCCATGAACTTTAGACAATTCTGAAAATTTACGACATGCTAGTGGAAAAGTGCAACGCCCTTTCTTCACACAAAATATTTCATGGCAGAGTAAAGAGAGCTTTATGATCATGGACCATTTAAGATGAACTAAGTCGTAATTAGTATTATTGATTATTTTTATTATTATGGTTGTGAAAGCTAATATGATCATGGGAAAGGACTGAATCATTAAATCTGCAAGATTGTAAACGCGATAGATAATTTTTATCTTGAGAAGAAAAATGTAATATATTGGGAGTGGAACTTCCACCGAACTATTTTTTTCCAAACAAAGTATACAGTACCAATTTTTAAAGAAGCTGATCGATAAAATGATAACTGTAGCGGCTGCAGAATTTTTTTCATGGAGGGTGGGGTAGATAACATACCTTTTAAACATGTCTAAAATTTCTTCCACAATCTGTGATTTTTGAGTGTCCTCGAAATTTCAAAAAGGCACGCCGAGAAAGGTCACGTTCCAGAAAAAAATTTTCCACAAAACTAATTTGATCTTTGAAAATTTATGAAATTGTTTAGAAGCAAAAACTGTAAAACTTCGAGCAAATTTCGCGAAATTCGGAGCTTTTGCAGTGTTTGTAAATAGAAGAAGTGAGGCTCAAAATTTTCTGATTATTGATTTTTTTTACAACGAGATTTTTTTAGATTGGCCTTTCAGTTATCTAATCACTTTTTGTGAATTTGCAATCTCTTCTACTCTCTCCCCCCCCCCCTTTCAGCTTCCGCTTTGTAAAATGAATCGGAAAAGGAGAGGATTTCTCAAAGCATAATTAACAAGTAACGGTATATTTTTAAGGTCATTCCTTCCAAATTTGAATATAAGTTCAGTATCAAAAAAAATGATAAAGATTTTTGCAAATGATTTTCTCGTGTTTGAAGTGTCATGTTTCATTCTGATCCCCTTCTTATCGTGTACCGTTTTACGGAAGCTTTACGGACAAGCAAAGTCAAAGTGCAAGCTTAAGATAAAAAGAGCACATTTGCTGGGCGCACTTTTCTTGAGAGCAGAAAAAAAACTTGAGAAGTGTTTACCGTGAGTCGGTGAGTTCGATTCCGATCTTCGACAGGGGTCCTCCAACTGGTCCCATTGAGAATGGAATAACATACATGATACGTCCTAAAATATCAACTTTAATGTTGGTAAACCTCCCTTTTTGGACAGGGAACCATTGGTACAATACAGTCTTTTGAAATTTTTTTATTCCTATTGCACAACACGCACACTATTTCACGACCTATGTGCTTACAATACTGTGAATTACTAGAATTTCTTTTCCTCTCTTTCACGATCTGTGTTAAGTTTGATAAGGTAAAGTTTGATTTGCTGTACAGCAAATAGTCGTGAGATCCTGCGCGCAGTGTGCAATTTCACAAATTAAATTACAAGTGCCTGCACTATACAGTGACTCACACGGATTACGGTAGCCCCAATTTGGTCAATCGCCTGTGTAATTGCACTACTTTTTCACTTTGCAAGTGTAGAATGTGTCATCGGATAAGAGGCCTTTTAATTCGTACAGGGTTTGTTGAGTTTTTTTGTCGTTTTTTGCTGGCCTGCCAGTTTGCTTTCTGCACTTCAAAATGTTGTGCAACTGCACAAACCTGCTGGCCAAATTAGAACTACCGTACCATAAATTCTACGTCCAATGTTTTTGAAAATTGTACTCCGAACCCCATGTATTTTCGACATGGCCTCAATTTCCTTATGTGTCGCTTGAGTCGTACACATTCAAGGACGACCGAACGTACTTTAGAGGAAAAATTTAAGGTCGCTTGTCTAGCGATGGCTTTAGCGAACGCACACTAAGTGCAGATAGCAATCCCACGAGAACTCGTCCAACTTTCTAAGATTGAATTCTCAGCTGATTGTACTCTATAGTTGTCAATCTCTTGGGCATCAAAGATTGAGAGGAGTGAGAAGAACATTAGCGGTACAAAAAAACGTCTGGAATTTTTCGCTTTCGAATGAGCTTATGATTTTATCAGATGGTCCGAATTAAATGCCCATATCTTACCATTCATGCATCCAGGGAATCTGTCATCAAGTTCTTTGGCGAATTGTTCTTCGCTCATCCATTGTCCCATAATTGGTTTTACACCATCTGGGGTGTGGCAGATCTAGAATTCACAATTTTGTTAATTTTTTTTTACAAAAATAATATCTGGCTATACCGATTGATATTTCTCGGTCGTGATCATCCAAGTCTTGGACTCCACTCGAGCAACATCTTGAGGATCAGTACGGCATAGGTAGCTGAAAAATTTTTTTTTAATTACACAGATAAAATAAATAAAATCAAAAAATAAAATTGATTTTACTCAGCTCTAGTAGGGTCAAATACCCATTACAAAAATTGACTAATTTTTATCGTTTTACACGACTCTAAGTCTTGTTTCCTTACTGAGGAGCTCCGAAGAGGACTTAATGTTAGAAATCAAGTCATACTCCGTCCAAGAGAAGAAGCGAAATAGTAATTCGCACACTTTCTTTTTGTTAAAAATGTGAAATAGTAATAATACAATTTTTTTTCATTGAAAAATTTGACTTCCTCGACCCTAAACACTCGACAGAAACCGAAAAAAAAAACAGCCTTCTCTGAATCTTATCTTTTACAAAATTTGTATGAGCGTCGAAGTCGTTATCGTAGTGTTACCGTATCTCTCTCACATCTACCTTTCCCATTACCTCTTCCCCCCGCTCACATTTCCCCCTTTCCCTCACCCCGTTCAAAACTCTCCAATGTCGTGTCCGCTCTGCTGTTGTTTTTATGCCGAATGAGAATCGGTTTTGTGCCGTTCGGCCGTTCGTTCAATAATTCGATGCTGCACTTTGTGCATCATCGACGACCGACCGACACAAGTGGGAGCTGACGGTGGTGATTTGGCCGAATCGCTTTTCTCCTCCACCTCTACCCGAGCCACCTAGTCTCTCTACTCCAACGAGCAGTTGTTCGAAGGGTTTTCGGCGCGAACTCAAAAAAAATCAGTCATACTGTGGCTGCGAGGCTACGACTGGTTCGTCGAAAAAGACAAAATTGCTGACTGGTTCCCTCTTGTCCCTAAATGAGTCTCCCTCCCCCCCCCCTCGTCCACCCCCTCAATCCTCTTAGTCGATTTTGAGTGACTAGCAGAGCCCGAAAGCTTCGGTTTGTTATGCTTAGATGCCCTCATAGTGTGCATACATTCAAATTGTTTACGACTTTGCCCTAGAATACTTCTCGTTCGTTCTCCCTCGTCAAAGCCTCTGAGGCTCTAACGTCCGCTGTGCCCTAAAGTTGTCCTTAGGGTTTTCGATCTGTTCTAGTGCGCCCCATATTCAAACGACTTAGAGAGAACGTGTTTCCTTTAATCGTCTTATTCGCAGAGTTCCTTTTTATAGAAAAATTGAATGCGCCAATTATCGGGGAGAAGTTCATAGTTCTTGGCTACAGAATCGCAATAGAAATTCCCGGACAATTTGATAAAAACATTTTCCTAAGAATTCAAAGGACTTGAGTGTTATTGCCCCGAGACCGGATTAGAAATAAAAAGTCTCGAAAACTCCTTTATTTTTGTCATTGAATATTTGCTCAATTCTCAAATTTGTTTTTTAGCCGTAGGCACTTCGCACTAATCCCAAGTTTTCATAAACAACCCTAAAAGATGTTGAGAATAATGAGAACCTTCAAGAGGGGCGGCATAGGGCCCAAAAAAATCCACATAGGAAAGACTTCTGACAACATTCTTAGAAGACATCATCTTTCATAAAAAATCTGTAAATTTACTCTACCGTCTCTCCCCACCGAGGAACGGAGAGGCCTAGAAATCAAAACTATGCGTCTAGGACATGGGACAAAATAGAAGCACTGTGATTCTTTATTTTTTTGTGAAATTGTGTCTAGTGTACATAACCGGCGACGTGTGGAAAAATTCCAAAATTTTCAGATCTCAAACTTTTGAAACCAACCAACTTTTTTCCAACTCACTTGTGATCATAGGCCTTCAAGGGCTTAAGCACATCATCCTTGACCATTTCATCAACAATGCTTTGGAATTCTTTCTGGCTACCATCGCAGATAAAAATTCCTTTTGGGCCCATAAGTTCGGCCTTTTCGGCGATGAATCGGGCAACTTTTGGTGGCAGCGAATGGAAGTCTCCCTAAAAAATTTCATAATTCCGCTAACCGAGTAAAAATTGCTGATAATATTATCCTCTATCAGTTCTGTCTTCTAATTACTTATTGTTGGTAACTTTTATAATATTTGATTTATTGCATATAATATAAAGACCTCAAGCCCTCTAAGTTCCTATGCATACGTCATGACTCTCCGCCCCTAAGGCTTTAGGCATGATGCAATCTCTTATATTCACAAAATGCCTCAAATATCATATAACTGGATGTCCGAAGGTCTCGAGCTAACCTTAAGAACAGGGATGTGGTTGAGTTTGTGCGTGATGACTTCGCTGACGATTTCGAAGCCGTCAGTCTCCATCTGACGCAACGATTTACAATCAGCCGCCATCCTTCTGTAAGTAAATGAATCTTAGAATAGATGTATTGGGTATAGAACAAATCAGAAATTCATTGGGCGCAGAATCAGAATCAATGACGAAGCACGGACTGATCGAACAGACAGTCAGAGCGCGGAAAGGTGTCTGGCTTCGGATGCCGGCGACGTGAGAACACTGAGCCGTTCGGTCAGCCACGCCTCCCACGAGAGCATCAGGGAACTGCTGGCTGTGCCAGGGGGGGGGGACGGGGAGAGGACAACACACGAACGCGACACGGGGCGAACGCAACGCAAAGTGCAACGTCTGCGTCCAGCTCGGGACAGTTTTATACGGAAATCGTCGATGCACTAATTTAGTTTTTGACTCACGATTCTCATTTTGCAGCAGGTAGAGGGAGGAGATTAGCCCCGCGCAAAAATGGAATTATGGCATTTCCAATTTTGCAGAAAAGAGAAATTTCCAAATTTCTACTCACTTACTCATCATAGTTCCGTCACGGCTACGGAAGGCGTTCTTTCGGAGTTCGGCACCACCTCCACCACCTCCTCCACGGCTATGGAAGAAGTTCTTTTGGTGTTTAGCAACACCATCACCACCAGCACCACCAACATCACCAAATCGCGCAGATGATCTCCTACATTGAACTGTAGCATAGCCTAAGTACAGCCGAAGGATCCTAGACCAGAACATCCTAATGTTCTCCATTTTTTTTCCTTCCTCTCCTCTTTCTGATCGATCCCTTTCTCTACAGTTTACTCAGCCTCTTGTCTGTCACTTCCGTTGCAAAATCGACAAATCTAGAGCTTTCCCAGCACGTCACTGTACTAAGCCATAAAATTGACAACTCATTTTGTTGATAAGGGTTAGAAAAAAACTCGCTGTGTTAGTCATGGTCAGGGCGAATTTTATTGGAAAGGGAATTTGTATGACTAGTTGACCTGTACTAAGCGTAGACAAGAGTCGTTTGACATTTCTCTTATCAGACAGTTTTTGAGGAAAAAATAGATTGTACTGATTTCGTACACTCTCATCTTGTCTGTCGCATCTAATTTGACATTTTCTCACTTCTTTTCCACCTTCTCGAAATCGCCGTGTTAGTCATGGTCAGGATTTGGAACTCCCTCAAAAAAAAAACTTCTCTTACGAATCTAATTTCAAGTTAAAAATTTTTAGAAATTTATTTTGATTATGTACGAGACTTTGATTGAATAAATGAACTGTGGTACCTCATCGGACAATTTTTCAAGGAAAAATAGACTGTGCTGATTTCATGCACTCAATATGTCTGTACCTTTATTTTCGAAATTCTACATCTACTTCCAGAAAAATCTAATTTCTGGTCCTTCTCGACCTTCCCCTCCCCCTTCCCCCTCCAACCCGCGTGATTCTGAACAGTCCTGCTTTGCACTTCTAGAAAATTCCACCTGTCATTCCTCGTTTTTCTCAACATTTTTGTAGTTCCGAACAGTCCTGCCGTTCTATTTCTAGAAACTCCACCTTCCTTTCCTTCCACCTCCTTCTCGACGTTTCTCCCGTAGTTCTGAACAGTTCTACACGCATGTGCTGCACCCTGTCAACTTTTCTGTTCCGCGTCCGAACTTCTGCTGCGTTGTACCGGGGGCTTGAAGTACGTGCATACGAAAAATTACAATGTGCAAAAGCACCGCACAGGCGCCCCTCGTCAAGAACAAGAACTTCTCGAGCTGCTTTGGCTACGTCAGAACCGTCAGCAGCAGAACGGATTCTAGGCATCGATTGTCTTCGTCAGCGAGGACCGACCACGTCGACGCCATCGCCATCGACGAATCGAATCGATGGCGGTGCCCACAAATACACATACAGTTCCCCTAGCCCCCCCCCCCTCGACGATGATTCCTCTTCGATTGCGAAACTGTGCTGCTCCAATTCCGCTACCGCCGCCGCCATCGGAAACAGCTCGACAAGAAATTTTGGGGGAAAAACAAACGGTTCTGCAATCACATCAAAGTACAATCACTCCCATATCGGTCACTGCCATGTAAGGTGATGTCAGTGCCCCGCTGCTGTACAAGGAACTGCCCGGAACGTCTGCAACCTCCCCCCCCCCTCTCTCCCAAACCAATCTCGCTGCGTCATTGATCTCAAAAGTTCCGTCTTAATCCAAAAGAACTCGACATCTGGTCCGGTCGTTCGCTCGTGAAGTGCCTATAGCAAAAAGTGGATGGATTACTTATGAGACTCTTACACGGAGCTTGGGCTAACTGAAAAGGGGTTTTGTGTCTTTGGGAGCTCCTTCTATGTTGACGAGTGCGATTGTAGACGTATAAGATTATCCTTTTTTGGGAATCTAGCCCTTTAATAATTCTTTGACATCACTTAACTGGGAAGTTGTAGTTCCTTCTGTACTCAGACCCTTTTCGGATGTGAGTTTTTGCTTAAGAAGAATTTCTTTCTGTTTTCAAAGATAATTAGGCCATAAATGATATGATGCAGAAATTTGAACCCTCTCCACCAAGTAGAGTATTCATTTTTTGAGATTTCAATTATCTAGATTGGATGTTTATTTTTCGACTTTCGCAATGCCATGCCCGAGGAGATCTATGTATCGTAGCTTACAATACGAATCTATTAAAACCGTTGTTGCTTTTCTAATCGAATTAGATAGACATTAGACATTAGATACACGCAGTTTTTTGATCTACCGATTGAAAATGTGGCCACCGATAAAATTTCAGAAAATTTTTTTTGCTATCTTTTAAGCAAAACTCTTGAGAGTGATATTGTATTCATGAGAACAATTTCACAACTTTTACCCATCTATACAACCTCAATATCAATCAAATAACATGATGATGCAATTTCTCAGAATTTGATGTCAAAGAAATTTGTGCAAAATTTCGTCGCCTACGGTTTAACAATAATCCGTGCACAACATCGCAAGCTTGTTAACAGGAATCCTTTTGAACATGTACTACTTCTAGATTTTTCTACTACCGTATATCACAAATCCTACTGTAACAAAGTATTTTTGCGAACGACATAATTCCTAAGCTCCAGCATAAAAAACCGAACTTTGCGACTGAACACAATTGACAGTGAATGTGTTTTGCTGCACTTTGTGCTTTGCACCGTGCAAAACTCTCAAAACCAACGAGAATGCACAGAATGCACAAAGCAGCTAGACGTATGATTGCTTTTGTAAATCCTCTATTGTAATAAAAGAAATAGAAATCGATTATTGTGGTCTTTTTATGTGAAAAGCGATTGAGTTGGAAACATATTTGTACTGTTTCACATATGATGTGAATTTATAGAGACCATGATCCTCATGATGATGCGAAAACATAAGTAGCAACTTTGCTAAGTTTACAAAATTCAAAAAAAAAGTTCAATAAAGCCAGGAAAAGAAATAAGGTTAATTGTTGACGGAAAGTAAGAGCTTCTGCTCCTGGGATTGATCATTTGCTTTTGTGTTAAGTGGTTGGTGCTGTTAAGAAGAAGAACCATTCGAACATTTTTTGCCTCCAACCTGGCTCTGATTATCTTTGTAAGATTTTCTAAATGGGCTCCTTGCTCAATATCTGATGTGGAAATTTGATTGAACTGATCAGACAATCTCGTCACTTTATGGTTCTAGTATGGTTTTTAGTTTAGTTTTGTCTTATGTTGTTGCAGGTGCATCAATATACACAGGAACGCAGAACCAAACTTTTTCATTCCCGATCTTGAACAGTTGGTCTTTCGCTGCAGTTCCTGAATTTTTTCTTTGATGGCATACCTAGAGTGCAATGCAATCAATAAATAAGTTGTCAAGTAGGAAAAATAAATGCAGTAAACGAAAACAAAACAAAGTGCCTTTAACTTTGGATCATTTCTACCACTATACTCTTACTTTTACTTGTAGGACAAACAACTGAACGTCAAACTTTAAGGGATTATAGAATGGATCATCAGAATTCAGTTTGGTTCCATGTAATGATAAATTTATCTCCTCTTACTTGAAGCCAAAGGAGTTGTAATTCTCTGGGACCTTCTTAATTCCCAAGAAAACAGCAGTGCAGATAACTTATGCGGGCGTTTCATTCCATCATTAGTTCATATATGTGTTTTCTGGTATAGGAGAGAATTTCAAGAAGGATTAACTTTTACTTCAACTGGCTTGGCGGCTGGTAGGCGGGGCTTTGTGACCTAATTAAGGGCGCTCGCGCCTGCGACGCAGTCTGCGTCTCTGTTACGGGCGTGCTCTCGGATCATTATCTAGCCTTAATTAGGTCACGAAGTCCCGCCCTCCAGCCGCCAAGCCAGTTGAATCAAAGGGTAGAGGGAAACAACCTCGTGCAATTTCTATCCTGCCAACTTGCGGTTCCTCGTTTCTGACGTCTTGCGCCATTGTTTCATGATTCAGCAATCATGTGCTACAATGCGTTTATATGAGTCAAATATGTTTTCTAACATCACCATAGCTTTTGCGTCATTCCGCCCCAATAACCAGAAATTTATTTGACATCAAGAAAATCAAGGGAAAATAATGCCAATTCATGTGCCTCATGATCGATAGAAGTGGAAGCTTATTAGCAGTTCCATGATATCATACACTCTCTGAATTCTATCATTCATATGAAAGTCTCGTATCTTTATTTAGAAGTAGTGTCATGAAGTTCGGCCAATAATATAAAAAAATCACCTTTAATTCTCGATCGTTCATTGAATTATGATGTTGGTAGCAGTTGAGATTGTTTGGCGATATGACGTGCCTGTGTTATAAAAAAATCTTGCAGCACCTGTTTCGGGAACTTGACGTCTCAAAGACTACGCAGTTCATTAAAAAATTACATCTTTAATTTAATTATACTGAAATATACAAATACAATTAGGCAGTACGAAAATTCTCCATGAACATATGCATGACCAAAATTCTGTGCTTTGCTGAAATCGAAACAACAATCCAGAGGAGTCATTTGTAATTCATAATGTGAGAATGCACACCATATACGACATCTCACGAATATGATCAGTCGGACGCAATAAGAACCGTTCTTTGAGGAACGAACTGCTAATAACTGTTTACTCAGACCTATTTGCTACAATATGAGCCCACAAAAGAGAAAAGTATAAGAAAAATCATCTGAATCATCTTGGCTCTTCATAAGCGGCGACGTCGTGAAATACCGAGCGAGTTGTGCAATACACATAATGAATTACGGATAAAAGCGACATAAAACGCACATCCATTTCATTTAGAATACATAACCAATATTGAACATCGTTGACAAAATTGAAAGTTCGAGTTTCACAATTTCATTTTTTTATCCGAAGTGTTCCTTGGACCTGGAACACTAAAAAACTAAAGAGGCATTGATTTAAGCTTTTCCCACGCATGATTCAAATTCCCTGTTTACCTCTCCTGTAGTACAAACTAAAATGTGAACCACTTTATTTCAATCCTCCAGTTTTATTATTGTAATGCATACCTTGAAAAATTGATTCGATTGTCACAGAATTTTATGGAGTACTACATACGAAATGTTCTCTACTCCTTCAATCGCTATAAATCATTTTCACACACGCACAGCACTTCACATCCGATTATGTCGATATGTACTTTTGTTATGCGACTTGAGGACTGGCACCGGGGGGGGGGGGAAACGACAGTGCAAATGTTGGGGGAAAACAACTGCTGAAAATAACTGTCACCACGTGTGTCTCCAAGG